TATCAAATGGGGATGAAGTATTTCCTCTTCTGCCTATCTCACAGATTTGTTGTGAGGTGAAACACTATACAAATAAAAGGGATGAGCACTAGCTCTGGAGTCAGATAGACCTGGGTTGAAACTGTAGTGCCATGGTTTACTACGTGACCCTGAGCAAGTTGCAAAATCTCTTCAGTTTCTTCCTCATCTGAAGAATAGGATGAATAAATTCATAGGGTTACTAAGAGCTTTTTTTTTTTTGACAGTCTTACTCTGTCGCCCAGGCTAAAGTGCAGCGGCGCAACCTTGGCTCACTGCAACCCCTGCCTCCCGGGTTCAAGCGATTCCCCTGCCTCAGCCACCCAAGTAGCTGGAACTACAAGCGCCTACCACCACACCTGGCTAATTTTTTGTATGTTTAGTAGACATGGGGTTTTACCATGTTAGCCAGGATGGTCTTGATCTCCTGACCTCATGATCTGCCCACCTCGGCCTCTCAAAGTGCTGAGATTACAGGGGTGAGCCACCACACCCAGCTACTATGAGGATTAAACATGGTAACATGTAAAAATGAAGGGTATGGGTGCCCAAGCATACAGCAGCCATTTAATAAGGGACAACTATCATTATTGCTAAAAAGGAGAATGTCTAGTCCATGGTCTCTACAGCACAGTTCTGGCTGTCACTTCATACATCTCTTTCCCAAAGACAGAGATTCCCAAGAAAGATACACACACACCTGAGGCTGGAAATCAACTGGTTCAAGGCCTCGGCACTCAAATTCCACTATTGTCTTGAAGTTCTCATTGTCTTCAGCCTAGAAAGAAAGTGTATTGAGGTAGGCTAAAATGAGCTCTCAGGATGAACCTGTGGCCCCTCTCCTTCCTGCCAAGTGGGCATTTACTGCCCCTGGAGGCCTAGCGTGAGTCCCAACAACAACTCATCCCCTTCTCAGAGGAAGCCTGCCTTGGGCACCTGCTCCCTATGAGGCTTTCTGTAGACATGGAGGCTGCAGAAGAAGAGTGTGGATGCTGGGTCAGCCTGCCTGGATGGGAGGTAAGCTGCCTCTCTTCCCCTCTGGGCCCAAGATTCCTAAACCATCAAATAGACCCGAAGAAACCTCTACAATTTTATTGTCAGATTTTGAAACGCAAATAAAGTGCCCAGCACAGTGCTCAATAAATAGTAAATAAAATTATCAACACCAAAAACATGAACAAGAATGTTAAGCTCTTAAGTCTCAAATCATCCAAACAGACCCAGCACACTAAGCCATAGCCTTCTGCTCACCATCTGCCACGCAGCAAGGACAGAGGGCTGACTTAGAGCCTTTGAAATGGTTATGTATGTGGAGGGGGCATACACGAGGCAGAATGGAACAGTGTGGAGAGCAGAGAAGTGGGACTTCAAAGCCCCAGCTCTGGCTCTGACTCAAATAATCACGAACATGTATGACCCTGAACAGAGCCAGATAGCTCAGGCCTGAATTCTAGCTCTTTCAGCTGTGTGACTGTGGGCAAATCACAGCCTCTTGAGGGATAGGTGGCCAGGAAATTCATGTCTACCTGACCTATGGGCTTAGGGACCACAAGTGCCATGCCCCCACATTCAGTCTCATCCTGTCATTCACTGTAAAACAATTTCCTGCACATTGACCACATCTGGCACTGGTAACGCACTTCTCTGTTAAAACCTAGTTTGATTCTTGCTTGTATTTTCCACTAGATTATTATTAACTTATGGGCAAGGCCTCATTTAATTTCTCTTTAACTTCAGGACAAAGCCTAGAATTTGGCACAACTCAAGATACTTTAAATAAATACAGAATATGGAATGGGTGAATACAAATAACTGGCTTTCTTTAAACAAACAGACCTAAAGTACACACTCCCTCACTCACCTTTGGGCTAACTTGTTATGCAGTTATGTATAACTATCTAATAACACTAATGCTATAAAGGATGGGATGCACCAAGGTCTACCCCAACTATGGTTTCAGAGAAAGCTAGCTAGTCCCCTAAAACGAAGATAAGGCAAGTGCTCTCAGTGATGCAATCTGAACACCTAGGTTGGCTCAGAGTTATACTGGCAACAGCCAATATACCAAGCACTGAGTGTACAGCGAATAATGACTGAGTGAATGAAGAACTAAATTCATGAGTGAACATCCTATGGCAGGTCACTCTGATGCAGGCATAAGTCCAAAACCCAGACCTACTAACTTCAGTTAGGATTTAACCCCACCATGCCTGCCACTATAGCAGCAAACTTACATTGTAAGGCTTGATGGTGCTGCTTAAAATATCTGAAACAGAAAAGAGAACACCAAGTTGAATTGAGTCTATGCCCTGGTCCCACCCAGGTGCACAGATGTGGCCCTGGAAAAAGATCACACTGCACAAGTGTCACATCTTAGGCCTGACTCCACCCACAGGTAACATGAGCCTACTTTCAGCCTGGTGCCAGGAAGCTGTAGGTACCCTTGGCAAAACTCAGTATACAAAGCCTGACCTACCGATGGAATTTTCTCTTGCACACAACTTGCACTTCTGGACCATGGAAGCACTGCCACGGCCCCCCTTCAGTGCCACACTGTCCTGGCAAAGAGCAAACAGAACTTTCAGTCACATATGAGTTAGATGCAGGGTCCTGAGAGCAACCCCACTACTAATTGTCCAGTTAAAAGAGACCAAGACCCAGAGAGGGTAAGACTCCTGGGGAGCCTTCCTGAGGAAAAGAAAGAAGGGCTTCCCCTTGATTTTGAACTCTGCCTCATACCTCAAAAATGCCTGTTACACTCAGTGCCAATCACAGTGACATGTGCCCTCCCAAACCACAAAAAGCAGAGAGCAAAGAACAGAAGAGATGCAGGCCAGTTTCCCCAAATCCCTGCCCAAGAAGAGTATGTGTGTTTGTGAGTGTGTATGTTTGGGGTGGGGGTGGGGAACAGTTACCATCAGCCGGATGTACTGCCACTTGTCTGAAATCTCACCACAGTTGCCACATTTCATCTTAGGGGGAAAAAGAATGTTAGTAAAGCAGTTGGCTTAGCCGGGCAGACACCAAGGTAAGGGTAAGAAAAGTGGGAGGTGGGCAGGTTTGTGACCTACCCTGTTGTTGGCAATCTCACTTCATCCTTAACACCAGCCCCAACAAGGATATAACTATACTTATCTCTGGACAAAAAACGAGTAAGGCTGTTCCCTACACCGGTGTGCCCACCCTCCTCCATGAAGTGCTCAGTGTGGGTGGGGATTCTAGGCTTTCGTGGTATAGAGATGGCTTCAACGGGGCGGCGGTGGGGGGGAGGGGAATAGGGAGAGATCTGATAAAAGACATGGGAGGAATAAGTTCTAGTGTTCTATAGCACTGTAGGATGACTATAGCTAAAAATAATAGTTTCAAATTGCTAGGAGGAGGATACTGAATGCTCCCGACACAAAGAAATGATACATATTTGAGAAGAATATGCTAACTACCTTGATCTGATCATTATACATTACATATATTGCAACATCACTATATACCCCATAAATATGTGCAATTCTGTGTCAACTAAAAAAATAAAGAGAGAGAGAAATGGACTCACCAGGCCCCCCATCCATTCTGCTTGGTTAGAAGCTTTATGTTCCCACAGGCCCTGTATGTCACTGGTTTAAGTATTTATCACTGATGTTACTCTATTTTTCTGTCTCCTTCACTAGATTCTGTTTCTTGAAGCCAAATAAAAGATTCTCCCAAGTAAGCCCTGGTATTCAGGCTTCAAAATATTGGGAAATAAAAACAGTCGGGAGGCGGCTTCCCAAAGAACAGGACTTAAGAGGTAGAGAAGGATGCTGGGATTTAGAGCAGGAGGAAAACAGCAGAAGCTCTGGGATCCGAACGAGTGAAGACCCTCGAACTGCTGGGTAAGGGGAGGCCTCTGTATACCATGCCACTAGAGTACCAGCTTTACCAGTGAGGGAGGGGAAGGGAAGGGTGGATTATGCACAAAATTAAACTATTTCACAATAAAGAAAACCAAATCAATAACTGGAAGGCGAATTATTCACCTTATAAATAATCACAAAGTCCCTTTAAGTAACATTTTGTTCAATGTCTGTTTACAGACCAAGAAATATTTAACGCAGGGAAAAACTACAAAATGAAGCTATCCAAGACTGCCAATTAGAGATAAACCAATACACTTCAAAAAAAGCAAACGTAAAATTCTAATTAGGAAAACCCGAACACTTAATGTGCTTGGTTAAATATTTTCTCATACTGCCGGAGAAAGCTCCGGTTCAGCACCGAAATCTAGACGGGCCGCCTCTCCCCGGGCCCCGCCCCGGCCGCACCTTCAAATACCACCGGAAGTCCTCGCCCACAGGCCGGAGATTGGTGATGTTCTCTAGCGTGGCTTTGAGCTGCAGCGCGATTTTCTGAAGGGGAGGGCCAGAGCGACTGCGTCAGCCGCGCCGGCGCAGCCCCACGCTGGCCCGAGCCCCCCCATCCCGGATTCCCAGCCATGGGTGCCACAGGGAGACAGACATTCCTTCTGCATCCCGCTCCTTCAGCGCGAGCCCACTCGCTTCATCTTCTCCCGGCGCGAGTTATTGCCTCTCAGATCCTCGCCACCTCCCCTCCGTGTCCCCGCCGCAGCCTGCCTTCCCTCACCCCCATGGTAGCCCGCTCGATCCGGCGCTGGCCAAGGCTGTTGCTTGCCGGCGCGTCGTAAAAGACGGGCGCCGTCTGCGCACCCTCAGTGGGACAGGGGAAAATGACACCTGCCTTTTACGACGCGCCGGAAAGCAACGGCCGCAGCCAACGCCAGGCCGAGCGGCTCACTGCGGCTGGGAGCTCTGCTCGCGGCTGTTCGCCTGACCCGCGGTGCTTTTCTCATTTGGGGATCTGGGGCTAGTGGAGGTCAGTCAGGTCCGCGAGCAACCCGTGCTCAGACCCGCGGAAGCCTGACTCCAGGATTCGGTGCCACAGACCCTTATTGAAGGCCGATTTTGTGCCTGCACTAAGCGCACAAGACAGTCCCTGCCCCTCCGTTCTTTCCTAGCTCTTCATGCCTGCCCTCGAACTTCTCATGCTGCCGGAGAGAAGGCTGCGGGTCAGCAATGAGATCAGGACGGGCCGCCTCTACCCGGGCCCCGCCCCGGCCGCACCTTCAGGTACCACCGGAAGTCCTCGCCCACAGGCTGGAGGTTGGTGATGTTCTCTAGCATGGCTTTGAGCTGCCGCGCGATTTTCCGAGGGGGAGGGCCAGAGACCCTTCCTGCCCTCGAAGTTCTCAGATCACGTCAGCTCCCCGTCTCCAGAGCAAAAACTACAAAAGGAAGAGTTCCAAGACTGCCAAATAAAGATGAACCAATACACTGTAAAAAGCAGAGTGTATTGGTTTATCAGATTTGGGTATGGTGCCTTTCTTTAAACCGCCCTTTCCTGTTTCATCCAAGAGACCTGGTTTCGAGGCCCCTCTCCAGAGGGTTGCCCTGTGTCCACATCCTTCTCACTGCGGTTCCTGAGACTGGACACTCCCCTTCAGCTGGCTCTTCTCTGGGGGCCCACCTGGCTTATCCTTCTATTATACGTTTATTGAACTCTGTTTTACCTGGTCTCCTGTCTAGGCTACATCTGAGACCATGCAGGAGCTGTGGACGTTAACGTTAAAAGGCACAGCTCATTCAAGACTCGTGGGAGGTGGAGCAAGATGGCCAAATAGAACCGTCCAGTGATCCACCTCCTCCTCTGGCAGGAACACCAAACTGAAAAATTATCCACACAAGAAAGCACCTTATGAGAACCAAAGAAACAGGTAGCAGTCACAGTACCTGGTTTTAACATCACATCAAGATATAAGGTAATGGCCTGGCGCAGTGGCTCACACCTGTAATCCCAGTGCTTTGGGATTACACTGGGCCGAGGCCGAGGCAGGCCGATCACATGAGGTCAGGAGTTCGAGGCCTATCTGGCCAACATAGTATAACCCAGTCTCTACTAAAAATACAAATATTAGCCGAGCGTGGTGTTGCACACCTGTAGTCCCAGCTACTTGGGAGGCTGAGGCAGGAGAATTGCTTGAACCCAGGAGGCAGAGTTAGTGAGCAGAGATCACACCACTGCTCCAGCCTGGGTGACAAAAGGAAAAAGGCAATGAAGAAGATAGGTAAGACAGTCTTTAATTGCCACCATAACCCTCCATCATCCTCCGGCAGCAGCTGGCTGCCTGGCACAGATTGAAAATCGGTGTGCTTATGGGAATTTACACTGGAACTGAGTGCTGCCCTGTCACAGTGGAAAGCAGCTCAGGGCAGAATTCAGCTACTGCTCACAGGGGAAGCATTTAGAGAAACCCTAGCCAGAGGGCAATCATCCATCCCAGTGGTCAGGTTCTGGGGAGCCCTACCACCACTGGCTAAAGTGCTCCAGGGTCCTAAGTAAATTTGAAAGGCAGTTTAGGCCACAAGGACTGCAATTCCTGGGCAAGTCCTGGTGCTGTGCTGGGCTCAGAGCCAGTGGACTTGGGGTGCACACAGCCTAGTGAGATATCAGCTGAGGAGCCAAAGAAGTGCTTATGACACCCGCCGCCCCCCCAACCCCAGGCAGCACAGCTCACAGCTCCAGGAGAGACCTGAAGGAAAGGAGAGGAGAAAGCAAAGAGGCCTTTGTCTTACAACTTGAATACAAGCCCAGCAACAGTAGAATAAAACACCAAGCAGAGTCCTAAAGGTTCCTTGCCAGGCTCTGTCTCCCACATATTTCTAGAGCTACTGTGGGCCACAAGGGAAACTGCTACTTTGAAGGAAAGGACCCAGTCCTGGCAGGATTCATCACCTGCTGACCAAAGAGCTGTTGGGCCTAGAATAAACATTAGTAATAGCCACAGTACTGGGCGAGACTCCTGTTTAAGGAAAAGAGAGGAAAGATTAGAAAGGACTTTGTCTTCCAACTTGGGTACCAGCTCAGCCACAGTAAAATAAAGCACCAAGTAGATTTCTCAAGTCCAGACTCCATTTCTAAATGGAGTCCTGGACAGCATTTCTAAACCCACGCTGGGCCAGAAGGGAACCTTCCACCCCAAAGAGAAAAACATGAGCCTAGCTGGATTCACTACCTGCTGATGAAAGAGCCTTTGGGCCTTGAATAACATCAGCAGAACCCAGGCAATAGTCACCATGGGCCTTGGGCAAGACCCACTGCTGTGCTGGCTTCAGGTGTGACAGCACAGTTCCAACGATGGTGGCCAGAGGGGAGCCTGTGTCACTCCTCTCTCAGCTCCAGGCAGCTCGGCATGGAGAGAGAGAGATTCCATTTATTTGGGGAAAAGTAAGGGAAAAGAACAAGAGACTGTACCTAGTAATCCAGGGAATTCTCTTAGATCTTAACCAAGACCATCAAGGCAGTACCTCTGAGTCTGCAAGAGTCACAGCATCACCAGGCTTGAGGTACCCCTGATGCAATTACAGCTGCAGTGACCAAAGATTTAGATCACAACACTCACTTCCCTTTGAATACTTAGAAAAACCTTCTGAAGAAGGATGAGTACAAATAAGCCCAAACTGTGAAACTTACAATAAATACCTAATTATTCAATGCTCTGCATTGACAAACACCCACAAGCATCAAGACCATCCAAGAAAACATGAGCTAACCAAATGAACTAAATAAGGTACCAGTGACCAATCCCAGAGTGACAGAGATATGTGACCTTTCAGACAGAGAATTCACTGTCACTGAGGAAGCTCAGTGAAGTGCAAGATAACACAGAGAAGGAATTCAGAATCCTGCCAGATAAATTTAACAAAGAAGTGGAAACAGTTTTAAAAATCAAATAGAAATTCTGGAGCTGATAAATTCAATGGATATACCAAAGAATGCACCAGGGTCTCTCAACATGAGACTTGATCAAGCAGGCTGGGCGTGGTGGCTCACGCCTGGAATCCCAGCACTTTGGGAGGCTGAGGTGGGTGGATCACAAGGTCAGGAGTTCCGAGATCAGCCTGACCAACATGGTTGAAACCCAGTCTTTACTAAAAATACAAAAATTAGCTGGATGTGGTGGCATGCACCGGTAGTCCCAGCTACTCGGGAGGCTGAGGCAGGAGAATCGCTTGAACCTGGGAGGCAGAGGGAGTGAGCTGAGATTGTGCCACTGTACTCCAGCAGCCTGGGCAACAGAGTGAGACTCCATCTAAGGAAAAAAAAAAGAATTGATCAAGCAGAAGAAAGAATTGGTGAGCTTGAAGACAGGCTATTTGAAAATACACAGAAGAAATCAAAGAAAAAATAATAAAAAGGGATGAAGCATGCCTATAATATTTAGACAATGGCCACAAAAGGGCAAATCAATGGTTTATTGGCCTTAAAGAGAAGGTAGAGAAAAATTAGGATAGAAAGTTTATTAAAAGGAATAATAACAGAACTTCCCAAACCTAGAGAAAGATATCAGTATTCAAGTATAAGAAAGTTATAGAACACCAAGGAGATTTAACCCAAATAAGACTACCTCATGTCATTTAATAATCAAACTCCCAAAAGTCAAAGATAAAGAAGGATCCTAAAAGCAGCAAGAGAAAATAAATAACACACAAAGAAGCTCCAGTACATCTGGCAGCAGGCTTCTCAGTGGAAACCTTACAGGCAGGGGAGAGTGGCACAACATTTAAAGTGCTGAAGGAAAAAAAAAAATTTATCTTAGAATAGTATAGCCAGCAAAAATATCCTTTAAACATGAAGGAAAAATGAAGACTTCCTAGGCAAACAAAAGCTGAGGGATTTTGTCAACACCAGACCTGTCCTTTAAGAAATGCTAACGGGAGTTCTTCATTCTGAAAGAAAAGGACATTAACAAGCAATGAGAAATCTTCTGAAGGCACAAAACTCATCGGGAATAGTAACTACATAAGACAAATGCAATATATTTTGACACTGTAATTGTGTATAAACTACTACTATCTTGAGTAGCAAGACTAAAAGATGAACCTATCAAAAATAATAACTCAAAAACACAGACAGTGTAAGATATAAATAGGGCCCAGGTACGGTGGCTTATGCCCATAATCCCAGCATTTTGGGAGGCTGAAGCAGGTGGATTGCTTGAGCTCAGGAATTCAAGCCCATCTGGGGTAACACGGTGAAACCCCATCTCTACTAAAAATAGAAAAAATTAGTCAGGTGTGGTGGCATGTGCCTATTGTCCCAGCTTCTCGGGAGCCTGAGGTGGGAGGATTGCTTGAGCCTGGGAGGTGGAGGTTGCAGTCAGCCAAGATCGCACCACTGAACTCCAGCCTGGCTGACAGAATGAGACCCTGTCTAAAAAAAAAAAAAAAAGAAAAAAATACACACACACATACATATATGCCAGGCACAGTGACTCACACCTGTAATTCCAGCACTTTGGGAGGCTGAGGTAGGAGGATGGCTTCAGTGCAGGAGTTTGAGACCAGCCAGACCCTGTCTCTACAAAAAATGAAAAAATTAGCCAGTCATGATGGCACATTTCTGTGGTCCCAGCTACTGGGAAAGCTAAGGCAGGAGCACTGTTTGAGACTAGGAGGTCAAGACTACAGTGAGCTGTGACTGCACCACTGCACTCCAACTTGGTCACAGACTCAAGATCCTGTCTCCAAAAAAACTAAAAATTAAGAATTAATAAGCATGGAGGATGAAGTTAAAATGTTGAGTTTTTATTAGTTTTCTTTTAGTTTTTGTAATCAGTTGTTGTCATCAGTCTAAAATGATGGGTTATTTGCAAGCCTTATGGCAACTTCAATTTAAAATACAAAATAGCAAATGCAAAGGCATAAACAAGATTTTTGTATATCAATTATGGATAGGTTTCAGAAGTATAATCTTGAATGAAGAAAAGTTGCAGAATAGTGCAGTATAACACTTAAAGATATAAAGGCAATACCATATATTGTTCAGGACTAGTATCTGTACAACCTTTAAGCAATGGGTTGAAGGGATACCTGCTAAATTCATCATTGTAGTTACTTCATCATTGCAGTAGGAAGAGGAACTTGACTGGGAACCAAGAAGACTTAATTGTATCGGTAATATTTTGTCTCTTTCAGTTAAAAAAAGGTTTAAAGCCTTGAAGGACAAATATTAACTGAATTCAGTTAATATTTGGTTAAGGTGATATAAGAATTTTTTTTTTTTTCCTTGAGATAGAGTTTTACTCATCACCCAGGCTGGAGTGCAATGGCGCAATCTCGGCTCTCCGCAGCCTTCACCTCCTGGGTTCAAGTGATTCTCCTGCCTCAGCCTCCCGAGTAGCTGGGATTACAGGCATGCACCACTACGCTTGGCTAATTTTTGTGTTTTTAGTAGAGACGGGGCTTTACCATGTTGGTCAGGCTGGTCTCAAACTCCTGACTTCAGGTGATTCACAGGCCTCGGCCTCCCAAAGTGCTGGGATTACAGGTGTGAGCCACTGCACCAGCCAAGAATACTTTTGTACACTAAAAACTTTCTTTGCTTCAGAAAACAAAACAAAAAAAGACTCTTTTATAACCTGAGGTCCTATCAATTCTTTAAATGACTTTAGAATGACTGACTTTTGGTGTCTACTACCAACTTGCCTCATTGCCCCAAGGAGGTGCACTGGAGTCAGGAACCCTGATCTCTCATTGCAGGTCTTAACTTGCCCCTTAGTTTTTGAAGTAGAGTGTGGTGGAAAAAGCACTGGTCCAGGGGTCAGGACACTTGGGACCTTGTCTTAAGCTGGCCTGCTTTTAGGAGAGTGAGTTTAGGCTAATCACTTCCCTGCAAATGAGGCTTTGTAGGCCTAGTTCCTTTCAGCAGGTGCAATCTTTCCTACCAGTACTTTTCCTAAAGAAGCCACGTAATTTACCAGAAAGGAAAAGTTGTCCACAGGTCTACCTGCTGAACAAATTTCCACACTGCCTGGGCAACTTACAGTCCTGAATGGCTGTTGGTATTGTGATTTTAAAATGGATTAATGTAAAACTTTTCTGAGACCAGGCATTTTATCTTGTGTCACGTATGAAAACAAAGTATTTTCCCCCACACTGAAATACCTACTAATATAGATGTATCTATAAAAGGTTATTTTAAAAACTCCAACCACCATACTATTTCATACCTAAATCAAACCAGTGTTAAATTTCCTTAATGGTATTAATTTTACTTTTTTTTCTTTCTGAGATGGAGTCTCACTGTCGCCCAGGCTGGAGTGCAGTGGTGCAATCTGGGCTCACTGCAGCTTCTGCCTCTCAGGTTCAAATGATTCTCCTGCCTCACCTCTCTGAGTAGCTGGGACTACAGGCGCACGCCACCACGCCTAGCTAATTTTTGTATTTTTAGTAGAGATGTGGTTTCACCATGTTAGCCAGGCAAGTCTCAAACTCCTGACCTCAGGTGATCCACCCACCTTGGCCTCCCAAGGTGCTGGGATTACAGGTGTGAGCCACCACATCTGGCCTAATTTTACATTTTTTTTGAATCATTATCCAAATAGGGTCCAAATATTGTGTTATGTGTCTCTTAAGTCTCCTTTTTAAGTTCCCACTCCATTTCTGTTTCCCTTGTAATTTACTGAAGAAACTAGGTCATTTGTCTTGGAATTTCCTCTCAATATGGCTGACTGAAATCCTACTGTATTTTTAAAACATGTTTCTATATTCTCTTATTTCCTTTAAAATGATAGTTATATGTAGAGAGTTGATTAGACTTTATGTTTGGGCACTACCTCACATAGGACGTTAGTGTTTTACAAAGTAATTAAGAAGACTTCACATGTTCAGGTCTTTATAAAGTAATAAAAATTGGATTTTATCACATTTATTAAAGACAGTCATTTATAGTTTATAAAAAAAAATACCACCCTGATATACAAAAAATTTTCTTGAAAACGCTAATTAAAAACTACTCCCACCCGCCCATGTCCACACCAATATTCAATCTAGATTGGTTTGATCTTGAAGTGTAATCCAATAAGACTGAAGACCAAACACTTCAGGTCCTGGACAAGATAATAAAATACTCGTAAGCCTTCTGGATCCCTAAAATGCAAAAGGAAAAAAAAAGTTTAAAACACTGAGGTAAAATGGGCAAAAGATACCATTTAATAATCTCAATTATTCCTCTATCAAAATGTTCCTTGTAAAGATATTTAGGGCATTAAAACTTTGACCAAAAAAGGAAAAGACTATATATTAAAATGGCATATTATGAAATAATTTAAATATACTGAGTTTTTAAAATAGGAAAATGCTTACATTAAGTGAAAAAAATTAACATTGATCTCGACTATATTTTTTATGCTTCTTAAAAAGTATATATTCTATTAATGCACAGAAAAAAAGACTAAAAAGAAATACTGCAAGATATTAATAAAGGTTGTCTGATAAGATAATGGATGGTTTTCACCCTTCTACTTTTCTACATTTCCTGTGTTTTCTACAATGAGCATGTATTACTTCCAGAGTTAGGAAAACTTTTTTAAAAAGTAGTAATACTAAGCAGGACCAAGAGGTTGAAGATTACTGTGGCATCACTAGCTAAGAACAAAGAGTATCCAAAGGGAAGAACAAGGAGAGTGTGCAAAGGAAGACAATTATGCCCAACATTTGCTAAAAGTGAGCCATATCTAATCCTGAATCCCCAAAACATAAGAGCCAAAGAAGTTGCCAAATTCTAAAGATTCTTCGTAGCACATAGGTTCATGCCTCAACTTAATAATCTGCCCCACTGACAACACAAATTTTAAAATTTGATCCATTTTCACCAAAATTATTTGTAAAAATTAATAAATTTAAAATCAAATAAAATTTAGATCCTAAAAATTGTCAAGTTTCATCAAAGTCAGATTTTAAGATGTGCCAGTCTGAACAGTCACACTGTGAAGGCTATTCAGACTTGGTGACTCTGGTTTATCATGAGCACTTTTCTAGCATATTCCATTTTTGTCCTGGCTGCTCCTGTGCATTAATTTGTATGTATGCGTCAACAAGAAGCTCTCAATAGCAATGACTAAATGAAATACCAAAAGTAATAGGAGCAAGTCTTCAAAAATAATTTGAGATCCCTCCCTAACAAGGAGGACAAAGCTGCCCACCTGTACCAGATCTTCCCATAGTGATCCCAATTTGGTTAAGAGTTTCTTATCAATCTGCTCCAAAACAGACACAATTGGAGATAAGGATAATGCACTTACTTGGATTGATTGACATCAATAAGGGAACCAATTTTTGATGTTGTAAAAGAAATGTGTTCATCTCCAATAACGATTTCAAGCTCCTGGAAGCATTTTAGAAAATCTAAGTCAAGTAAAATTGGATTATTCATCAAGCACACAGAAGGATTAATCATTTGCCAAATCACACAAACTTGACTACAGATGGCCATAAAAACAAGGGCGGTTCACTCTGAACACTGAACTGTGCTGGGGACTAGAAACAAGACATAAATAAAGCTCATATTTAGAAGAAATTGTACCCTCAAGGCTCTACTATTTCTGGAATTTGAAAAAAAAATCTATGAAGCTTTTTTTTTTCTTCCCCCCCCCGAGGCGGAGTCTCATTCTCTCGCCCAGGCTGAAGTGCAGTGGTATGATCTTGGGTCACTGCAACCTCTGCTTCCAGGGTTCAAGTGATTCTCCTGCCTCAGCCTCCCAAGTGGCTGGGACTACAGGTGCCCACCACCACCCTGTCTCTATTAAAAATTTTTTGTATTTTTAATAGAGACAGGGTTTCGCCATATTGGCCAGGCCGGTCTTGAACTCCTGACCTCAGGTGATCTGCCTGCCTCAGCCTCCCAACTGCTGGGATTACAGGCATGAGACACTATGCCCAGCCTATGTAGTATTTTGTCTAAGTTTTCATTGTCAACAATGTGGAGTAAAATGGATACATCTATGTTTTAAAAATACCAAACAATTGGACTGGGTGTGGTGGCTCACACCTGTAATCCCAGCAGTTTAGGAGGCCAATGCAGAAGAATCACTTGCGCCCAGGAGTTTAAGACCAGTATGGGCAACTTGGCAAAACCTCATCTTTACAAAAAATATAGAAATTAGCTGGGTGTGGTGGCATGCACCCATGGTCCCTGCTACTAGAGAGGCTGAGGTGGAAGGATCCTTCAGCCCAGGAGGTCAAGGCAGCAGTCAGCCGTGATCTCATCACTGTACCCCAGCCTGGGCAACAGAGTGTGACCCTGTCTCCAACAACAACAAACAAAAACAAGTACCAGAGGATCTAACCTATCAAGGCAACATGGGAAAAGGAAGTATTCCAGACCTTAGGTTTGATCCCCACTTCGTCACTCCATATCTGTATGACTTTGGGTCTTAATTTCTAAACAGTGACATGAGTACTGTAAACCTTCAAAAAATACTATGTAGAGCCTACTGGGTGCTAGGTGTTGTTCTCAGAGCTTAGGACAGATAAGTAAAACCAACCAAACCAAAGATCTCTGCCCTGTGGAACTTACAGTCTTGTGAGCCCTACTTACTTTTTCTTCTTTTAGATTCATATATATTTTTGTTATAATTCAATCAGAAAATAGAAAAAACCTGAGATCAATGTTTCCAATATCCATATTTATAAATTACTGCCATACATGTGTCAGCTTTTTTTTTTTAAAGAAATAAAATATTACAAAGTTGATATCCATCTCCCATTGTGTTCTTCCTGTATCCCCTGATTTGTTCCACTCATTTCAGATTTGGTAGTATGTTTTTACTGATTTGTTTTTACATACAGGGTCTCACTCTTTCACCAAAGCTGAAGTGCAGTGGTAGGATCATAGCTCACCGTAACTCTGAGGCTCAAGCTATCCTGTAGCCTTAGCCTCCCGAATGGCTGGGACTACAGGTACACGCCACCACACCTGTTAATTTTTAGGGTTTTGGTAGAAAAAAGATCTCACTGTGCTGCTCTATTTCTGTTTGTATCTCCACTATGATTTGTCCATAGTAGTTAGTGAGACAGGCAGCAAAAGCTTCAAGTGGAGGAGTGGGTGTGGGGGGGTCCTAAGAAGAAATTCAAGGTGGGTTCTTGGTGGCCAGCAGCACCACTTGTTCTCTCTGTTCCTCCCTATGGGATTAGTGCTTCCTTAGACCATGGTGCTGGCAATCTGCTTTCTGCAGAGCTGACCACCACCACACACCCACACACCCACACCCACACACACACAGTTTCACTATCATATGCAGAGCACTAAACATCTTATTTGTAAGATTTCTGCACTACAGGATAATAAAACACACGCACACACACACACACAAAATTTCACTATCATATGCAGAGCAATAAACCTCATCTTATTTGTAAGATTTCTGCACTACAGGATAATCAATAAAACATACCTGCCGGCCCACTCGGTCAGGAGGAGGCCACAACGCATCATCCTCTTTGGTAATTTCACTGTCATCAATTATTCTCTTCAGTTCCTCCATCACACTTTTATGTACATAAGCCTGAAAGTAAGTTAAAAAACAAAATATATGTTGTATCCTTAAGCAGTGCTTTGAATCAGATAGTGATGGAAGATAAAAATAACTGTTCCTGCAGACTTATTTCTGGCATCTCCTGAAGTTGGAAGACATTCACTCTCAACCTCAGCATGGTGCAGGTGAGGGACAGGGTCAAAAGTATCAAATAACTGTACCTCATTCCCCCATCTAGCTGGTTCTACTCCTGGTACATCCTGTTCACATGGCCCTTCTCCTGCCCACATAGCCAACTCACAACAGAACCCAAAACAGATCCGTGAATGCCCCCTACTGTGGTTTAAATGTTTGTGTCTCCTACAAAATTCGTGTTGAAATTAATCCCCAAGGCAACAGTGTTAAGAGATAGGGCCTTTAGGAGGTGATCATACCTTGAGGGCAGAGTCCTTATGGACAGGATTAGTGCCTTGGGAGAGACCTGAAGGGAACTAGCTGGCCCCTTTCCTGTTCTTTCACCATATGAGGATACAGCATTCATCCTTCTGGGGCATGCAAAAACAAGGGACAATTGTGGAAGCAGAGACTGGGCTCTCACCAGACGCTGAACCTACCAGCGCCTTGATCTTGGACTTTCCAGCCTGCAAAACTGTGAGAAATATATTTTACCCAGTCTCAGGTATTTTGTTATAGGAAAACAAGAGACTGAGACATCCACATGCCCCGGTTATTCTTAACTAGGTAATACACTCCTGAGGAACAAAATGTATTTTAAAAGATATGCCTGTGTAAAAAAATAGTGAGGATGTTGACATGTGTATAAGCATAAAATCAATAGCTAAAATAACAGTATGAAAATATATACTAAGACATATTCAAAGGTGGCAAAGTGGCTAAAAGTAAACAGTAGCTTTGATGAAGCCTTAACAATGTGGTAGAGATCACAGAATGGAGAATACAAACTTTACTGGGGCAGGGTTGGGAATTCCTGCTATATCTCTTACTAGCAGGGGTAACTCTTAACAAGCCTCACAATTAATATCTGGGGTTTTATTTTCTTATAATACCCTCCCCCATCACATGGGCTTATAATTAGGGTTAAATAAGATGCCCTGCCTGACATCTAACATGCATTCAATGATATCAACTGCTTTCCCACATTCCTTTTCACATTCAGATGTAAATTAAATAGCTCTCCCTTGAGTACTATGTGCCAGTGAATATACTGAGCACTTTAAGTATAACCTATTTAATTTTATGACAGCACTTGGGAGTGGGAGGTAGCTGTTATTATCCCTGCTTTTACAGGTGAAGAAACAAGGACTTATCAAGTTCAGCTAGCAACTTGCCCGAGGTCACATGGGGTAGTAGGCAGCATACTCAGGGTTCAAACCAAGGTATGTCAATGGTTACCAGTAGTTGATTCCACATTGTAAAAGAAAAAAATACCAACTAAAAGATGATTTGGGAAATAATCCAGAAGCTGTCTACAGACATGTGTTTTTCTCCCTGTTCTCTACCTTTCAGTACTACCAGAAAGAACAAAAAAATGCAAGACAAAAAGCTGAAATGTAGCAAATGAAGGACTCTCAGAAGGCAGAAGACTCATACCTCTTTTCTGATCATGACATCATTCTTGTAATTGCTGTTGTTGGCGTATCTTAATTTCCCTGTGGGGGCAAAAAACAAATTCCATGTATAATAAAAACATATGAATAAAAGCATCAATACATACCAAGACTATCAGCAGTTCCCTAAAATGTATCTAACTTGCTCAAAGTGTCTAATAGATTTATTATTTACTCTTATGGTATATCAACAATACTAGTCTTTTTCAGTTCACTTCAGGCTTAAACAGCCAAATATACAGCTGACACTCTACTGCAAAACGCAGCTCAGGTGAGATATAAACACAAGCAGGCTCTTTTCTGACATTGTCAAATCACATTTTTGCAGGTTAATATCCTGAAAACAGGCATAGTAATTGATAACTTACCCGTACATAGGACCTCCTGAGGCTCAAATGAGTTGTGAAAACATTTTGAAAACTGTAGGATGCTGTTTACATATATTATCATGTGACTGTGCCACCCTCTATTTCTGTGATGGAAAAGCTGTTGCTTTTATCACTGAGCATATTTGGTACACCAGACCCTTTGTCCATGGGTGCATGTAATAGGTTAATGTGAGTATATGGTGGGGATGAGGGGAAGATAAAAGTAAATAGAAGACATGACTTCTCCTGCCGTAGACTAGAAGACATACATGTGAGATGAGCCAAATGAATTTATCCAACAGCCTCTGTGTTGTGTCTCTGCCTCAAGTTTCTTCACATTCAGTTCACTGTCCATACGGTGGACGCGGTGATGTGGTAACAGACCTATCAGATTGGGTTACTCTAATATTTTAATACAGTTAATGGCTTTCCACTGCCTTCCTGGTAAAATCCAAACTCCTCAACATGGCATACAGCTAAGCTGGCCCCTGCCTGCTTTTCTAGCCTCACTCCTGCAATATTCTTCTCTCACATGGCTGGAGTCAAACTATTTGGTATTCTGTCTGAAACATCCCAAGCACTTTTTGGTTTTCAGCCTCTTTGCATGTTGTCTAAAATGCCTTCTTGACTCTTGGTCTCCTAAACAATTCCTCACATCCCTTTCTCCCACATCATTTTATGTAGGAAGCCTTCTCTGACCCTCTGGCTTGGTTAGGTGCCTCTTCTCTGCTGCGAGCCTCCTCTGTTTCTTTTTACCACAACACCCAATACACTGTTTCATCACTGTTTGCTTATAAATCTATCTCCCTCACAGTCGAGGCCTGTCAGTTTCATCTTTGTGCCCCACTTAGTGGATGTTTTCTGTTATCTTTGATTCCTCTTTCCTTCACCACAGTGCCCCCTCAACAAGATCCTATCAATCAGCAAAGTCCAACTGTTTCTGCCTCTAACAGTTTCCTAAACCATCCTCTCCATTTCTACTGTTGCCGTAGTCCCAACCAATAACTTTCTTGTCTTGACAACTGCAACAGTCTCCTCCTAATCAATAGCCCTGTTTCCACTCTTGCCCTTGTGCACCCAATAACCAGAATGCTTTTTCAAGAACAGATCCCATTTCTTCTCTGTTTAAAACCTTCCAAGTCCGGCTGGGAGCAGTGGCTCACGCCTGCAATCCCAGCACTTTGGGAGGCCAAGGTGGGCGGATCATCTGAGGTCAGGAGTCCGAGACCAGCCTGGCCAACATGGTGAAACCCCATCTCTACCAAAAATACAAAATTAGCCGGGTGTGGTGGTGGGTGCCTGTAATTCCAGCTACTCGGGAGGCGGAGGCTTAGAATCTCTTGAACCCGGGAGACGGAGGTTGCAGTGAGCCAAGATAGTGCCACTGCACTCCAGACTGGGCAAAAAGAGCGAAACTCCATCTCAAAACAACAACAAACAACAACCCTTCCAAGTCCAAACAACAACAAACCTTTCAAGTCCAAAGCTTTTACCATGGTCTTTAAAGACTTACAAGGTGTGGCTCCTACCTACCTATTTGACGTCATCTCCTGCTATCTCTCACCTTATCACTCTTTAACCACACTGACCACTTGAGAGGCATGCCTAGCTCATTCCCGCCCTGCAGCCTTGACATTTGCCAATCCCTTTGGGTGGAATGGTCTTCCTCCTGAGCTTCACAAGGCTGGGTCCTTGTTGTTAAGTAGGGATCGGCTGCAATATACCCTTTACGGAGAGCTCTAATGGTCAACCTATCTAAAAGCAGCCCATCCAGCAATTATTCTACCTTTTTTTTTTAATCACTCACTACTATCTGGAATCATCTTTTTGTTTATGATCTCTCTCCCGGCACTAAAACACAAATTCCATGAGAGGGGAAGTTTGTCTACCTTCGCTGCCGTTTCCCCAAAGAGTGGAACAGAGCCTGGCACACAGTGAGCGTAAGGTCAACACTGGTTAAATGGATTAAAAAAAAACAAAAACAAAAAAACCCTGGAGCAGACACAGGGGCGTTCCTTTCAGATTCTCGCTGCACAGGTCTCAGTCCCTTCCTCCTGTCTTTCCACACTGATTTCCGACCCTCCGCCTCCCGACTCCGGGCAGCCTGTAGCCCGCCCTTATCCCTGGTCCCCGCTCCCGGCAGGCTACAGGCTGCTTTTACCGTCTGGTCGGAACTCAAACTCCAGGAACTCGTGGCCGAACTTGCCCTTGTGCCCCACGTAGTAACGTAGATAAAAGTCACTCTCCATGGCTCGCAAAAGACAACCGAGACGGAACCTCGAAGAGAAAGCCGCACCGCCGCGGTCTGCGCCCGACACTGACGTTTGGGGCGGCGCGCGGAAGTGACGTTACCACGACGTCGCGTAGTGGAGGGTTTCACTCTTGCTAACCTCTTCGCCCGGAAGCGGCAAAAGACTGCTACACGGGTAACGAACTTTGTTTAGTCCGGAGGCTGGGCCGAGCAGCTCGGTCCCTCCAGCTGGACGCGGGAGCGAGGTTGAGATTTGACCCCTCAACCCCCTGGGTTTTCTCCAGGCCTGAGGCCGAGAGCCTACCGCTCACCAACCTCTGGGCTTTGAACGAGGAGTTCAGAGACCTCACTTAAAGACCTCGGGCCGAACACCCCGAGCCTTGCACCCGCCAGGCTCAACCTCAGTTCACAGGACTTCCGACTTGTGTGAATCGTACACCGCTCTTTACCGTCTCTGCACCTAGGTCATCTCGGCAGTAAAGTGGGGTAAAATGACCCGAGCTCCTCGGAGGACGCCGCGCACGATATGTGCCTCAAGTTGGCTTCCACTGACCTGAATGTTAAGAAAGCCGTCCTCTCTGTCTCAAAAAAAAAAAAGAAAGTCGTCCTCAGTGACGCTCTCCCTGAATCCATAGTGGAGATTGCCATTTCCCTGGAACTAATTCACTCACACTTATCCATTGCATCCCTTTCTACCTTTTATTTCTATCTTTCTACCCCACTGGTCTCCAGAATAGGTGCTTGAGAAGTTAAAGTGAGTATTTGATCTCCCATTACTCATCCCATTTACTCAGCAGTGATTCTCAGCCTGGCTGCGCATTGCAATCACCTGGGAGCCTCTAAAAATACTGATGCCAGGGCCCCAAGCCAATTAAAATCTCCACCGCTGGGCCTGGGAATTGGTACTTTTTATAAAGCTCCCAGGTGAGTCAGAGTTGAGGACCACTGACCAAAGGGGCTCGCTCTTTTCAGGGTAAAGTGATTGTCCTCTATGAAGCCTTTCTGGCTCTGAAAAAATGTACAGTTGAGTAGGCCCAGGGCAATCAAGATCATAATTTTATAATAGGAGCCTACTTTCATTCATCTAAGTTCCAGCTTAGAACGAATGGTTCTAGAGACAGTGCCTAGATGACATCATTCTTGGGACCTGGCAACTAGAACTGGGGACAGGAATCAGACAGGACCGCAGTCTTGATTCCTGTCCCCAGTCTTAACATTGAGTCCTTTTCTCCCTGAAAAAGCATTAGAAGCAGAGTGTAGAGTAGGTGTGGTGGGGGAAAATCACTGGAGATGGGTTAAAATAATCGCTTGTGTAACAGTGACTCATTGTAACTATAGGTGAACTGACTCAACTTTTTAGACTTCAGTTTCCTTCTCTTTAAATGAGCGTAATAATGTACACCTAGCAGAACTGTTATAAGAAACAATTTCAAAATTGCTATAAAACCATAAGGCATTTTTATTACAAAACACTGGATATGGGTAGTAACAAGGGAATTGTATAAAAGAGAAGGGGACTAGACATGGTGGCTCACACCTGTAATCTCAGCACTTAAGGAGGCTGAGGCAGGAGGATCACTTGAGCCCAGGAGTTTGAGATCAGCCTGGGCAACATAGGGAGACCTGGTCTCTACAAAAAATTTAAAAATTAGGTAGGTGTGGTGGTGCACACCTGCAGTCCCAGCTACTTGGGAGGCTGAGGTAGGAGGATCATTTGAGCCTGGGAGGTTGAGGCTACAGAGAACCATGATCACACCACTGCACTCCAGCCTGAGTGACAAAGCAAGACCCTATCTGAAATAAATAAATAAAATAAGAGAAAAAGAAAAGGGAGCCACCATGTATCAAGTACCTAATAAATGGCAGCCCCTAGGCTGAATGGGATTACATGTGCTTGTTCTTCGAACCATCACAACAATCTTGAGGTGGTAATTAGAGTTAAGTAGAGGTGTTAAGCAATTGCTACAAGGTTATTTTCCAAGAGTAAAATTATAAAAATATAAGTGAATCTGGCATTTGCAGATGTGGCAAATAACAAGAGAAATTTAAAGGACACGCAACTCCCATCAGGCTGTAAAGTAATCCAGGTTTTTGGATATGAGACATGGTATAACTGAAAGAGCATGATCGGTGTCTGCAGTGTCTGCATTTGGTATAACTTATTGAGCATCTACTGAGTGTCATGTGCAGAGAGGATACAGTGTTGAGCAAGACAGTTCTTTACAGAGCTTGCAGAGGAGGTAGTTAAGAAGTATACAAGCAATTAACAGTGTAACGATGAGATTACCAACAAAAGAAGCACAGGATACTATGGAAGCACATGAGGTGGCTGCTAATGCAGTGTAGGGTCCTTAGGGAAATGTTCCTGAAGGAAATGTTCCAGACAGAGGGCTCGAACTGTGTGGTTAAAATATAAGGAGTAATGAGCTGGAGACTGGGCAGAAACCAAATCGCGAAGAGCTTTACCACCTATATTAAAAGATTTTGGGCAAACCCAAGAATATTAGATTTTGATGGCAGTGAAGCAGTTGAAGGGCTTTAAGCAAGAAAGTGGAATGAAGTGGCGGTGATGTATCTATGGCACTTTAGAAAGACACTTTGGCAGCAGTGTTGTAGGGTGGATTGGAAAATGAAAAGACTAGAAGTATGACATTCAGGTCAGTAGTTAATCTGTTAGCCAGGCGAGGTGCCTTATGCCTGTAGTTGCAGTTACTCAGGAGGCTGAGACAGGAGAATTGGTTGAGCCAAGGAGGCGGAGGTTGCAGTGAGCTGAGATCACACAATTGCACTCCAGCCTGGGCAACAGAGAGAGACCTTTTCTCCAAAAAAAAAAAAAAAAACAAAAAAGAAAAGAAAAAGTAAAGAAAAAATAATTAACCAGGCACTGTGGCATGTGCCTGTAGTCCCAGCTACTCAGAAGGCTGAGGTGGGAGGATTGCTTTAAGCCAGGACTTCAAGGTTGCAGTGAGCTATGATTCTACCACTGCACCCCAGCCTGGGTAACAGAGTATGACCCTGTCAAGAGAGAAAGAAAGAAAGAAAGAGAAGAGAGAGAGAAAGAGAAAGAAAGAGAAAAGAGAGAGAGAGAGAAAGAAAGGAAAGAGAGAAAGAAGGAAGAAAGAAAAAAGAAAGAAAGAGAAAGTAATCTATGACAGTGGTAATCCAAGAAAATGGTGATGTGTACTTAGGTAGCAGCAATCGAGATAGAAAAGTGGGTGGATTTGAGATGGAATACCATAATTTAAGGAGTGGGTAAAGGAGACTCAGATGTGGCCAGAGATCCTGGAGAAAAACCATGAGTATGGTATCATGGAAGCCAAAATAAGAGTATTCCATGAAAAGAGTGACTAACAATGTTAACTACTGCTTCCAGGTCAAGGAAGATCAAGACTGAAACAATGTTTACCAGATTTATAATTGAGGAGGTCCTGAGTGACCTTGGCAAAAGCAACCCCAATGGCATGAGAATGAATGGTAGGGCAGAGTACTGGGATGCAGGTAGACAAAAATTGTTCTGGAAGTATAGAGGTGAGTTATCTAACCTAGTCTTAGAGAAAAGGGAAGGCTTCCTGGAGGAGGCATTACCTAAGTGGAGTACTCAAGGACAAACAGGAGTTAGTTAGTCACCTAGAGGCAGAGAAGGAAAATTTAGGCAGAGAATGCTACATGTACAATTGTCCTTTTGGGGCACTAAAAATAACCTGTGACTTTGGGCAGCTACTTCACCCATTTTCTCATCTATAAAATGGAGTGGGTAATATTGATAGTATTTATCTCGCCGAATTGTTGACAAAGATTGAGATTATGTAGAATACTGGTGCACATTAGGGATTCGGTGATAGTTCACTCCCCCCTCATTAAAGTATCACAATGAAACAATACTTAAAGATTTTTAAAAAATGAATTTAATCTCTCTCTAGAAACAGTGCACTGATTTTACAAATGTCCACATTTGGTTTTCAGTTTACCAAGATGATGTCAGTACAGCTAGTGAAATGCAGCACGCCATCTTCAGCCCCCTCGCCTCTGGAAGACACACCAGATAGCAAAGGGCACACCGCTTACAGAAGCTAACAGAACTTGAATGACAAGACAAAAAGAGCAGAACCAGTTAGTGCGACACAACATTCTAACATGCCGGATTGTTACATCAAATATGGGAACTTAGGGGCTGGTGGGGAAGACAAACAAGGAAAATCCATTTGGAAACAATCTGATGAAGTTTGCAAACCAGCACTTTACCCCCAAATTAACAACAGCTTGTATGGGAAAAAAATGCTATTTTAAAAGTATGAGGTTTGGACAGGTGTTTGTTTTCTCTTGTAGTTTTGTAAAAAAGTATCAAAACCTTGGCTTTAAATATATATATATGTATATATATACAAGTGGCTTTTTAAAAATTACTTTTATAGCACAAAGTGTTTGTAAATGCAGAGGGTTTCTGCTGATTCTTGACTGTGCACATGGTGCATAGCCTGAATGAACAGAGCTTCCTGATTTTTTTAATAACTGAAAATTTGAAGCAGTAATTCTTTAACCTTCTAAATTCTCCATACCCTAAAAATACAGTGTGAGAAGACTGTTACTCTACCTTCATGCATTTTGGGAAAAGGAATTATTTACTCTCAAACTTTTAATGCTAACTCATTTATATTCTGTGACACGGTGATTGTATGGCTGGAGTTCGGGGGGTGGGGTAGAGAGGCTTGCATTCCTGTGCCATTTCCCCATTCCCATCAGTGTCTGACTGGACGGTGACTGGTATCCCCTCTCCAGACTTGATGTCTTCAAAATTTTCAGGTTTCTTTCTCACAGTTGAGAAAATCTAAGAGGCTCTCGACAACATGGCATGCTTCTGTGAAAATCCCACTGCCCTTTTATTAGTTTTCATTGATCATATAAAAAAATCTTTGACTCAAATATATGAAAAGCAGTCAGCATTTCCCTTTGGCCAATGGAAAGCTTGAGGCTGAATAATGTCAGGTCTGCAAAGTGCTGGCAATGCATCCTAATGAATTTTCCTTGATGCATTTTGTGCCTTGTAAACAATGACCAAGAAATGCTTAATTCAACCAGAAATTAGTATAACTATAAAGTGCTTATATTGAACCTCTTTCCATCTAGCCTCATTTCTCCCTTGAGCCTTTTGTTCCTATTATAAAGAACTACATGCAGTTCCTTAACATTCCCATGCTGATTCATACCTCTGTTTTTTGGCTCAGTGTGTCTCTGCCTGAAGAAGTGTGGAATCCCCTTCTTAATTTTTAAGACTTAGATCACTTCTATGATGACCCTATTCCTCATCTTCCCAGGTAGAAAGACCTCTCTCTCCTTTGTGTCCTAACAGTGCTCTGAATAGAATCTATTCCTTTTGTGTTTCCACATACGTCTTCCTCCACTGCTACTGTGACCTCTATAAAGTCAGAACATGTTTGACTGACCTTTACATCTGCAGTGCCAGGTGTGCAGTTGGTACCTAGTGAGTGGTTTTAGTGAGTGAATATACTGGAGGGGTCAATAGGACTTACTGCCATACACTTAAATCTGATCTCATTCTCCTTTTGCCAGTTAACAGGTTACTTCTGTTTTACAAGTAATTGTGCTATGAAGAGTAAATACGATTTTCATTTTCTCCATTTCTGGAAAGCATCTCAGCCAGTGCCTTTGTAAGTCCACTGGAAAGGTAGACCATAGTATAGGTAGCAGGTTTGATACAATGTTTAGGCAGCCAAAAATAGTCTTCCTGAAGAAGGAAATGGGAGAAAAGCACTGGGACTGGCTTCTGATAAATTTTCTGCTCTCTTGGCATTATCTCTGAGCTTCCTTCCAGCTCTATAGTCCAGTAACTCTGTGATCTGTGATTGGCTGTAGATACCTATGCACAGGTGCAAAAGGCAAAATATATATAACTTACACCTCAAAATGAGGCTGAAAGGCCTCTATGAATGGGGGGAGGTGGATCTGACTCCTCAGGTTTCATCTTACTTACTACCATCCAACACATCTGTATTTTACAATTTGTTTCTTGTAAAGGGTTGCTCCCATAGCTGCCTCTTTCAAACTGCAGCTGTAGTACATGCTGGAAACATGGGTGTCTCTGAGAAAGTTGTGAATTTTTTTTTTTTTTTTTTTACTTTTTGAGGCAAATTTATCTTAGAATATAAACTACTGAAGAAAGATATTCCTGATGAGAGAGGATGCTTTTCTGTATCCTAGTCCAGACTTGACTTCTAAAAGCAGATCATCTTGGCCTTTTATGTCAGGATCAGGGGCAAATGTTGAGAAGAAAATTAGACCAGAGATTCAAAGAACAAATTGCATTAATCTGATGCCCAGAAATTACTTTGTGAGTCCTCTGATTTTTCAGGAAAAGTTTCATTGCATGATGGCTTTTCAATTGGTTTAATTATGCTTTCTTCTGCATTGCTCTTTTTGAAAGCAAGTTCTGCCCTGACAGATCCCAGTGACTTAGGGAATAACTGATTGCTCCACGTGTGGAGGTTTATTTCCTTTCCACTGGCTATCAAGGACACGTTCTTGGGATTCACACCTAGAAGATATCTTGATTGTTTCAAGCAGTACTGTTTAGAGGCTGGGGCAGTTGACAATTCGGAATCAGACTTTAGGGAAATAACAGCAGGTAAGCTCTTGTTTTCCCCTAGCAAGTGGTTGGAGCCCGAGGGTGCCAGTTCTGGAAGCCGAAATGGAGAATCTTTCTTCCTTTTTTCTTTAAAAACACTCATGCTTGGCTTCTTGGAATGGGAGGCTCCGAAATCATAGTCCTCCAACTCTTCCCAGCTTTCTCCAGATTTGAAGATAGTCTGGCCCCAACACCTCCTACCACTTTTATGATTCAGTGTACCATTTGGCTTAGTTGGCATGTTTTTGATGATGTTTGGGAATTGTGTTTGCGGCGGTTTCTGCTGATTCTGTTGCTTTGGTGGTTGCTGGACGTTCAGGTTCTGTGGCGGCCGAAATGGGCTGCAGTGGCTTCTGGCTAGTTTTTGACTGGGATTGTCCAACAGTCTAACTAATTACATCTGGTAGAGGCTTGGGCTCTACTTCAACTAAAGATGGCTTTGATTCTAATGGTTGGAGCTGCTTATTTAAAGACTGTTTTGATTCCAGATGATTTGAGAAATGGCCTAATACCTGACCAACTTGAAAATATGGGTGTTTCAATGCCCGGCTTGCTCTTGGTCGTTTCATTGGATCCCAATTCAACATTTCAGTCATGAGCTGAATAGCTTCATTACTGGCATTGGGAATCAGAGTTTTTAAGTTTATAGGAACACACTGGGGAAAACGAAAGTTCATAGAAGGTGCCAGCTGGTATTCTTCTGGCCAAGTTGCTCTTTTTCGGAGTCCCTAAAACTTGGCAAATTTTAAAGATTTCATCCATCTCTCTTTTCCCTGGGAAAACATATAGAGTTCAGCCATGATAATTCCAACAGCCCACACATCAATGGGAGAGCTATACACAGAAGATCTCAGCAAAACTTCAGGGGCATGATACTATCTAGTAGAGACATAATCAGTGTACAGTGGCTGTGACCTTAATTCTCTTGCAAGTCCAAAATCAGCAATTTTCACAAGTTCTGGACCCATACAAAGCAAGTTTTCTAATTTCAAGTCCCTATGAAAAAACCCATGTTTATGGATAAAAGCCAGCCCTTGCAATATCTGATAGATAATATTTCTGATGACTGACTCAGGGAACAAGTTGTTTCTGTCTTTCATTAATTGATAGAGGTTTTCTTTCATATATTCAAATATGAAATAAAAGTGGTCATTTTCTCTGATAACTTCTTTCAATTTAATAACATTAGGATGATTAAGTTTTCTCAGAGACTTAACTTATCTCAAGTTCATACATTCATCCCAAGAATAGAACTTTCTCTTCATCCTTTTGATAGCCACCAGCTCCCCGGACTCGTTATTCTTGGCCATAAGCACACTCCTATAGGCGCCGTCCCCCAACTGTCCCATGGTTGTGTATCGGTTCATCTTGGAAGAATAACACAGCAGAAGTTGTTGATTGAAATGGCTTCCTCATTGAATATAAATCTCGTTCACTGCCCTCAGGCGTCTTCGAAAGTTGTGAATTTCATCATTGTTTTAAGATCTCAGGCTGTATGTCCAGACCCCATTCATTATCTTTTTTTCTGTGAATCCCAGGATCTGGCTGAAAGTTTAGAAACTATGCCTTAGCCACTGTTATCATTTAATTCCTTAGAAAATGCAGTTTCTTTGGAAGAAGGTTATAGAAAAAGTTACTTGTTTTGAGTAAATTTCCATGTTTTTCACTGTCATCACTTTCCTTCAGTCAAAAATAATGTTACTTTCTGTTCTTAAAAGAATAGTAATATGTGATTAAGCCCCACAGGAGCTGGCCACCTGTTCTTAAAATTCTGTTTGGTATTGGCCATTCTAGGTCGACCGCGTTTACCCTCTCAGTGAATGTTTCAGGACTGTCAACACATGCATGTCATGAGGAGATTGTTGGCTTCTGCAAAACACAGTGCCCAAGCTCCAGAATGCAGTTGTTTTCTTAGAGTTTAGGAGACCAAGAAGGACGCAGAGGAAGGCCCTAGGAAGAGGATGCTAGAACTCCAGAATGTCTGACTGGAAATTCAAAGGATATCAAGCTGGTGAGACATCCAACCTTCATTGAGCTGGGGGCATCTGGTGGGCGGGGATAGGAAGGCATTCGCTTAAGTGTGTCAAGTTTCAGGTATGATAAGGTTAGATACATGTCCTCGGCTTCTACTTAAGTCAGACACTTCCATGTTGCACCTTTTCCCTGGTTGTCTAGTGGGAGTAAGTGGTAGAAGAGCAGAGTTAAGAAACTCAAACTCTTTCTCTTTGGATGGGAAAGCCAGTGGGGTGAATCCTTCTAGGACTACAGGATTATGTTTCCAATGGCAGACCCCACACAAATAGAAAAGAGCACTTCTCCCTTCCTCCCCCAAGGCCAGGAAAAGCAAAGAAGGTATCTATAATAAAGAACATCTATACATACACCCAGAGTTTTTCCTTTTATTTACAAAGCAGTAAACCAAATTCCTGTGTGAACATAAATATCCAATATACTATAATATTGCATATGCCATTTCCCCCCTCAAATAGGACTTCAGGTTTGGCCAATTGTTCTGATTTAAGCCAAAAATTAGTTTAATCTATATGAACATAGGATGGTAAGTAACCTATTTATTACTTTAAAATGTTTCCCCAACTAAAGGAAATGGTAGAGGGTAAGGGGAAAAGAGAAATAAGAGATGTAATAAAACCTATTCCACCATGTTTATCCTCATCCACAGCATGTCCCAGACGTTCAGTGCCTGGGCCAGTCTCTATGGTAAATTTGGGCTGTTCTGGAAATGTCTCCACTTAGCTCTGTAAGGATGGCACCCTGCAGGGTGCTTCAGAGGAAACTTACTGAATTCAACCCAAGTGTCCTGAAAGAAATTGAAGAAGTTACTCAAAGAGCTGAACTTTAAAACAAGGAGTAGCTGAGGGTGAGGCATATTCTGTCTTGAGTTTCTGAGTGTTCTGGTACCATGTAATGTCTGTATGCTGACCTTTGCCAAAGACAAGAAAGCCCAGGTAGGAGTCAGGGCAGCAATGAGTGAGCTGAAAGGCTGTTCCTGACTTACCAGCGTCTCAGGAGTAGCCAGAGGTGAAAAGATTTGCCTTTTTCACTACCTATTAGCACAAACCATGGTATCTATTTTCTGAGCCAGATTTCCAAAGGCTTTTCTGAAAACTACAAGATATACCCCTTGTGGACTGTGTTAAAGTAAATTTATCTTGATGTATTTGAACAGTAGCCATAGGTGTGCCTCTTCTCTACAGATTTTTCTCTGTCTCACACATACACATATAAACACACACATATACACACACAGAGTCTGTGTGGTGGACCAGTCATACCAAAAATAAATACTCTCACTTCTCTAAATTATAGAACTCATCTGATTTTTGAAATATGTTAATAAATAATCTAAATGGGGGAAGGAGTTGAAGTGTTTTTTTTTACTTATGTTGATGGATAGCCACAAAGCATAATCATCTTATTTACAAAAAACAAATCCCCCCAAACCTAAACCCCCACAACTAAACATCTTCTGTAAAGACAGTTTTTAAATGATGAGTAAGGTACTGTGCCATTGGCCCCCATTTGGTTATGTGCATCATGTTAGTCACTCAGCAGTAGCCATTCCACGAATTCCTCATGGGTAGTGCAACCAGTTAAAAAGTGTATAAAACATTATACATAGAAAAACTCTCACATCCTTTGGATGTTTGCAGTTCATCATAACTTTGTGGTTACCTTTTCGCAACATAAATTTTAAAAAAAATCACACACACACATATACACACACTCACACAGACCCATATATAGAAACCCATTCATCCAGTCATACACCATCCAGAGTGTAGTGCGTGGGACTGAATTCCATGAGGCACGAAGGGGGTGATCCCATCCTCAGGGTAGTCCATCATCTTCAAGGCTTAATGCCACTCGCTGAGGAGACAAACCAAAGGATTCATCATTAGATCCATAAGAGTTACCATTTATTCAGTATTGATAAAGTACAGACTTACGTTACTTTGACAGGTATTAGCTCACATAATCTTCAAACTATCCCAGGAGACAAGATTTATCCCATTTATTTTACAGATGAGAAAACAAACTTAATGAGCTTAAGTACGGTTTGTTCTGGATCACATAGCAAGTGGCTGAACTAAAATTTAACCCCCGATCTGTATGAATCCAAAGCTATAGATTTTTTTCATCATTTTGTTTTGTATCTTTTTTTTTTTTTTTTTTTTTTTGAGACGGAGTTTTGCTCTTGTTACCCAGGCTGGAGTGCAATGGCGCGATCTTGGCTCACTGCAACCTCCACCTCCTAGGTTCAGGCAATTCACCTGCCTCAGCCTCCTGAGTAGCTGGGATTACAGGCGTGTGCCACCACGCCCAGCTAATTTTTTGTATTTTTAGTAGAGATGGGGTTTCATCATGTTGACCAGGATGGTCTCGATCTCTTGACCTCGTGATCCACCCGCCTTGGCCTCCCAAAGTGCTGGGATTATAGGTGTAAGCCACTGTGCCTGGCCTGTTTTGTATCTTTGTAAAGAAGAGTCGCACGGATCTAAATTTTCTCAATCCTCCCTTATAGGATTTTAGGTTTGGTCAATTTCAGTGGGTTAGCTTTGGCAAATGTTAAATTTCAGGCTATGAGTTACTTGTCTCTAGCATGCTAATCACATTTAAGAAGGTAATATACTTCACCTTCCCAACAGATTAAACAGGATTGGAAGGCAATGCAGGTTAATTAAATTCCATCCCTCTCTCCCTCATCCCTACTTTCCAGTCACTGGGTAGATGCTAGACTCCTGTCTGCCAAAAATGGCTGACTGTGAGATGTTGAGCCCACTAACCCCTGAGCCAGTCTATTCCATTCCTGTGCTAATGTGAAATTTGTTTATTTATATCTTCTGACATTCCCTGATTCCATCTCTCAGACTCAGAGACAGTTCTATGTAGGACAACCCTTGACATTTATAGATGGTGTTTGAATTCCCTTTCCTTCATTCTGAATGTTTTCTTCTCCACAATACACATCTAACTGGTCCTGATGTAATCTTGTTTGCCTCTTTTACATTTCCTGGATACCCTCCTTTGGAAAGGCTCTCCCCAGCTTCAGTATTTTTCTCATAGTTATGTGAATTTGGGTCAGGCACTTTACTTCTCTGAGACTTAGTTTTATTATCTATCAAATGGGAATAATAATAGGATCTACCTCACAGGGTTGTTGAGGAATCAAATGAGATAATGCACAGAGAGTGTTTAATATAGTACCTAACAACACATAGAGCCTAGAGTATCCCAGGTCACCGTAACCAGCATAAAATAGAATCAGACTAGTATCTCCCATCTCTGAACGTTCTACATATGATAAAAAGTAACCCTACTGCCTTTCAAGTAATCTTTGGGTTATCTGTAATTTTTTAAGAATGCAATGACCATCCTCCACTAGTGTAGATATTTGAGACTATCTTATTCTAGTCCAGCCATGCTCCCACTCTCTCCAAGACAGATCTCTAGGCCAAAGATAGGCCCCAGTAGTAATGGTACAGTTACCCAAGAAATGGACAGAGGAGAGAACAGGTTGTTGAGAATATTGATTTCCAGAGCTTTAAGGCTATTTACACCTCATGATATAAAGGAAAGAGCATGGGCTTTTGTGTATATACAGACTGGAGTTTGAATTCTGGTTCTGCCACTTCTGGCTATGACCTTAGGCAAGTTATTCAATTTCTATGAGTCTCAGTTTCCTCATCTGCAAAATGGGGCTATTAATATCAGCTTGATAAGGCTATTATGAAGATTAAATGAGATAATGTATGTAAAACACTGAGAACAGAGTCTCACACACAGTAGGTGCTCACTAAATGTTGATTTCTCTGCGACTGGCAGGAGCTTATTACTCAGTCCTTAGACTCATCAGGAATCACTCCCCCTGAGTCATTTCTTTCTCTGGAAATAATGTCACTTTACATGTGCAGGGTGCTTTGTAAGTCACAAAGTACTCTCACATGTGCTGTCTCACTTGCACTTTATAAACTCAGGAGGCAGGCAGAATGGGGGTTGTTACTCTCATTTTACAAAGAACAGTGAGCAGAGAGAAGTGACTGAGATCACAGGGCTGTGGAATGATGGAACTGGCAGTTCTCTTATTCCAAGTTCAGTGCTTCTTCCACTGTGTCCGCTCTGACCTTCAAAAATTGGTCAAGCAACTATTTTTTTTGACTGGCCGAGGTTAAGGATCCTCAAGGCCATTTGCTAACCCTCCTCATTTGCTCCACCTCATTTCCCATGGCTCCCCTTCATGAACAATTTGCCTCAGCAGCAATTCTGTCTGCCCTGCCCCAAACTTGATTACTTTCTTCCACATACCATCTCATTGGTCTGTGACTAACCCATTTTTCCTCTTTGCCCCAATACCCAGATTACATTTGCAGCCTTCCCAAACCAGAAAGCCTTCTAGGACTGGCTGCACCTGCCTTGGTTCATGCCCTCACTCACCAGCCCCTCAGACTTAGAGTGGCACTGCCCTACCTTGCACTTGACGACAGGCAGCTCGGAAAGAGGGTTCTTCGGGAGTTGGTGCAGCTGTGACCTTGGTTCCCCCGGCAAGACAAAAAGCTCCTTGAGGGCAGGGGCTGGGTCTTCCAGTTCTCTGGTCTCCCCAAGACAGGGCTCTGCCCACAGTGGGCGATCAAAGCTGCTGATTGCCTGACAGGGGGATGGCACTGTGGATGACCTCTGAGGTCACACTCAGCCCCCTGACTCTGCTGTCTAACAGTGACACCTGCTGTGCCACTTCGTGGTCCTCATTCCCCCAAAAAGTCATGCTGTGTTGTGTCTTTAAGTCTTTGCACATGCTTCTATCTGCAATGCCATTTCCCCCCTTCTCTCCCTGCAAAACTGCTATTAATCTTTCAAGGACATAGTTCATCTGTTGCCTTCTCTGTGAGGCATTCCTTTCCTGATTCCCTAGACAAAATTCATAGCTCCCTTGTTGATGTTTCCATAGCATCTGTTCAATAAATATTTGTTGGGCATCAGCTGTGCTGTGCTAGGCATCAGGAAAACAGATTAATCTGACAGTTCTGCCCTCAAGGATCTTATGGTTTAGTGAGGAGACCACTGAGTAAAAGACAAGTGGACTACAGTGTGAGGTAGAGAGGCTGAGGACTGATGGGAGAACAAAGCAAGCCAAGGAAAGCTTTCTAGAAGAGGGGACTCCTGAGCTTCCACCATGGCACTCAGCACACAATTATACCACCGTATGTTAGTATCTCTAACTCCCTACCAGCTTCTTGGGAGCAAGAACATTCCTTATTGACTTTTGAACACTTGATATCTAATGTGGTGCTTGGCACGTAACTGGCATATGGTATTGAAATGAAAACATTTGAATTACACATCCACAGTTACCCTTCCAGGCCAAAGGTTCTGAAAACTTACTGAGTAGAGAGACATTTGGCTTTTTTAACTGCCAGGAAGAGCCTCTAGGTACAAGGTAGTCCTGACACCTTTTTATCTTAATCACCTACCCCATCATTTCTATGTTCCCCAGGGCCTAGAACAGTGCCTGATACATGGTATATTCTTGATAAATATTGGCGGGAGGAAGGAAGGAGGAAGGGAAGGACAGAAGGAAGGAAGGAAAGAAGAAAGGGAAGGAGGGAAGAAGAACAGAAGGATGTAAGGAATAAACGGAGGGAGAGAAGAAGGGAGCGAAGAAAGAAAGGATGGGAGGGAAGAAGGTCAGAAGGTAGGAATTCTCCCAGTGAGAAATACTTACTGCAGGATAGACATGGCCAATCTGAGCAGTCCTCCCTATATGGAGCTCATCTTCATCTTCTTCCTCTGTTGTTTTCCTGTATACTGGGTTGTCAAAATTCATGCTTTTGGTGTTCTTCCGCTTCCAGTTTCTCCAGATCAGGTAGCCACTCATGCACAGCAGGGCTATCACCACTGGAGGAAAGACACATTACACTGGACCTCCAGCAGGCTCCTGCCCACTGCCCAGACATCAGTGCAAGGCTTGCCACCACTCCACCTTCACTGCCCCTTGTTCCTCAGACTCTGTTTCTGCATGCTCTTTTTCTACTGTTGAAAGCCCATCTCCCATCCCTTCTTTCTTTTATTAACTATGAATCCTTCAAGATCCTGCTCAAATGTGAAGTCTTCCCCAACTGAGGGCAGAGTCAGTTGCTTTCTTATGTGTGCTCCCAGACCGCACATGGTATCTTACTTATGAAAAGATACTTGACCTCACAGGGAAATGTATCTGCACTCCCAGCTAGATAGCTTTTTCAGGGCAGGAACTGTGTCTTTTTTTAAAACTCTCTATGCCTAGTTCCTAGCACTGAGTAGGTGCCTAGTAACATGTTCTGAATGAATGAGTGAATTTCTTTACCACACCTTTACCCTAATGCTGTTGTTTCCCTAGATTTCTCTAAGAAAACCATTATTTCCCAAACTGTGGGGGTGGAGAGTGGGATGGAGCCAGATAGAGTGTTTATTTCCAAAGGTGGCTCCACTCGAAGAGGAACATTTCTAGAAGGAGACACAGAGAGCAACACAAACTCTGATTTAGAATAAATGAATATGTTAATGATTAAAGGAGGAAGCTCTCTGCAACACAGCTGGGTAAAAATGGAGCAAGTAGCTTTGTAAGGGGTTAGCAGTCACTGAGCATCCCAGGGGAGGCTGAATGATCACCTATTTAGGATGCTATAGAAGGGGTTTCTGTTTTAGTAAGATTACAATAACTGATATGCATTAAAGACAGGAACAAGGCAGTTATCACTGCTAATATTTATTGTCCTAGAGATCTAGTGATGCAGTAAGCCCAGAAAAAATTTAAGGGTATAAATATGGGAAAGGAGGCCAGGTGCAGTGTCTCATGCCTGTAATTCCAGCACTTTGGGAGGCCAAGGCAGGTAGATTACTTGAGGCCAGGAGTTTGAGACCAGCCTGGCCAACATAGCAAAACCCCATCTTTAAAAAAAATATAAAAATGAGCTGGGCAGGTGAGCCCACCTATAGTCCCAGCTACTCAGAAGGCTGAGGTGGGAGGATTGCTTGAGCCTGGGAGATCTAGGCTGCAGTGAGCCACAATCGTGCCACTAAGCTCCAGTCTGGGCAACAAGTGAGACTTTGTCTCTGAATGAATGAATGAATGAATGAATGAATGAAGGGGGAAGGAAACCAAACGGTTACTAACAGCTATTTGTATTTTCAGAAACTCTAAGAGAAGCTAGTGAAAAACTATCAGAAATAATTTTAGTTAATCAAGAATCAACATAAAAGATCATTAGCCTTCTTATTAATCAGCAAGATTCAACATAAAAGATCATTAGACTTCTTTTTAATCAGCAAGAACTAATTAGAAAATGTAACAGGGGCCAGGCACCGTGGCTCACATGTATAATCCCAACATATCGCGAGGCTGAAGCAGGAGGATTGCTTGAACTCAGGAGTTCAAGACCAGCCTAGGCAAGATGGTGAGCACTGGTCTCTACAGAAAAATAAATTTTTAAAATTAGCCAGGTGTGGTGTGCATGCCTGTAGTCCCAGCTACTCCAGTCCCAGCTACTTGGGTTGCTGAGGCAGAAGAATCCCTTCAGCCCAGGAGTTTGAGGATGCAGTGAACTGTGATTGCACCACTGTACTCCAGCCTGGTCAAGAGAGCAAGATTTTGTCTCTTAAAAAAAAGAGAGAAAGCAAATGTAGTGGAATAAAAACACATTCATAATAGCCCATCAAGAAACTATAAAATAACTAGGAAAACCTAAGAAGAAACATGCAAGTCCTATGTGATCTCTAAAATTCTACTGAAGGGCATAAAAGAAGAATGAAATAAATAGATATGCCACATTTCTGGATGGGAAACTTTACTGTATTAAAAATGTATATTCTCCTCACATAAACTTACTTATCTAAAGCAATCTTGATAAAAATTTTACCAAAATTTTTATAGAATTTATAAGATTATTCTGAAGTTCACCTAGAAGAGAAAATGAATAAAAATAGCTGAGAAGATGTTGTGAGTGTAACATATCATGAAGTTGTGCTAATAGTATGTAGGGAGATATAAATCAGTGGAGGAAAATAAACTGCTCAGATGCAAATCAAAGTATGTATGGGAGGTAGTTTATAATAAAGATGACAGTGTAAGTCAGGAGAGAAAAATAGATTATTTAATAGTGGTACTGGGGAAACTCGACAGGTATACAGAGAAAAGAAATCTACCTCATACCATACCTAAAATTTAAATTCAAAATAGATTAATATCTAAGTACTAAAAAAAATTTGAAGTACAAAAGAAAATATCAGGAAATATATATATATATATATATTTTTTTTTTTAGACGGAGTTTCGCTCTTGTTACCCAGGCTGGAGTGCAATGGCACGATCTTGGCTCACTGCAACCTCCGCCTCCTGGGTTCAGGCAATTCTCCTGCCTCAGCCTCCTGAGTAGCTGGGATTACGGGCACGTACCACCATGCCCAGCTAATTTTTTTTTTTGTATTTTTAATAGAGATGGTTTTCACCATGTTGACCAAGATGGTCTCGATCTCTTGACCTCGTGATCCACCTGCCTCGGCCTCCCAAAGTGCTGGGATTACAGGCTTGAGCCACCATGCCCGGCCCAGGAACTATGAGTTTGTGTCATTTGTAGGGACATGGATGAATCTGGAAAACATCATCCTCAGCAAACTGACACAAGAACAGAAAATGAAACACCGCATATTCTCACTCATAGGTGGGTGATGAAAAATGAGAACACATGGACACAGAAAGGGGAGTACTAAACAGTGGGGTCTATTGGGGGAAAAAGGGGAGGGGGAGGTGGGGAGGGATAGCCTGGGGAGAAATGCCAAATGTGGGTGAAGGGGAGAAGAAAAGCAAAGCACACTGCCATGTGTGTACCTACGCAACTGTCTTGCATGCTCTGCTCATGTACCCCAAAACCTATAATCCAATAAAAAATTAAAAAAAAAAAAAATTTAGAGTGAGGCAGATCTTCTTAAGCAAGACACGAAACCCAGAAATCATAAAACAAAACACTGACAGATCTGATACTTAAAAGTTTTATATTATGCATGGCAAAAGATACCATAAACGAACTTGAAAAGCAAATGTCAGACTGGAAGAAAATATTTGTGACATATATTTTAAAGGTTTCATATTCGTCATGTATAAATATTTCTATAAATAAGAAAAAGATAGCCAACAGAAAAATAAAAAAAGACTATGAGTAGGAGATTCATAACAGATAAAATATAAGCCAGGTGGCTGATAAGCTTATGAAAAGATACTCTACCTCACAGGGAAATGTCAGGGAAACAATACTCATCTCTCACCCCTCAGATTAGCAGAAATTAAAAATATTATTTCAGAGTAAGTTATGTCAGCAAAACAGCATACATCTGCCTCTTTCTACAGGACACACGATGGCAAGAAATGGGTAGATTTATTTTTCTCCACTCAAAATAATCTTGAAATAATCATCTCACCATCACCTTTTCTGGTGAAGCCTTTCAAGGCCAATTCAAATGCCATCTTCTCCAGAAGCTCCACTTTTACTCTGGAATTACCTTTCCTTCTACTGTCCCTTCACAGGAATATCATGCCACTAGTACACTGTTCTTCTGTCTCTATCTATATCCAACATGCCCCTATTATATAACACATTATGATATGTATTAACATCTACATTACATGACTTTATTTTTGCTTAGTCTGATTAAAGACTGAAAGCTCTTAAAGTCTTCATCTTTTTCTTCCCTGGATCCTTGGCACTTGGCACAGTGTCTCACACAGGGGAGAAGTTTTTAAAACACTTGCTGACTAACTTGCAAAGTTGAAGTCCCAGGATAAAAGGACAAAGTTCCTGTCTTTGAAGTACTCATAGGCAAATAAGGGAGATAAAGCTCTGAATGGACAATCACAATTCAAAGATACTGCTAAGAGAGTGACGTACAGGATACTATGTGAACATTGGCGTGGAAGAGAATGAATCAGCCCCTGGGGTTCTCTGTGAGGTCTTAACCAAGTGTTATACTGTGCCCATACTAATCTCCTTCTAGTTCTAAACCCACCCCATCCTGACCCTTCTAAGCCATTTCCTACTCCTGGCTTTGCTCATGCTGTCTCCACTGCTTGGACTACTCTTGATCCTCCTTCACTTGGCTGACCCAACTCAAATATCACTTCCCTTGGGAAACCTCCCCTACCCTCTTACTCTCTCCCCCAGCCCAAGTTAAGTATATCCTCAGCACTGTCTCTGACGTCAGTGCATACAGCTTAACCTTAGGACTTACCAGGTCGTAACGAACTTATCTGTGTTATGTGTGTCTCTCCAACAAGACTACACACTTTTGTAGGACAGAACCACGTCTTATGAGTTTGGCACATAGTAGCTGCTTAATAAATACTTGTTGAAAACCAAACAGAAAGAAAACAAGACAGTATGACCTCTTAAAGGAATGGTAAGCAGCTCTATTCATTAATTCAACAAATCCTTGATTTCCTACCATGTGCCAGACATTGCTAGGAGCTGGGGAGAACAGGGATCATACAGTCACACTTCACGTGGCTGGAGTGTAGAGTGTGAATCAAGGCGGGAGATGGGGGATGTACTTGAAAGGTCACTCGGAGCCAGGTCCTAAAGAGCCTGATTTAATTTGAAAAACCAAATTAAATCAGGACTGGGAGGTGGGCAGGAAGGCTGCAAGGGCAGAACAAATCAATAGGTCAGGCCAAGTTCTCTACCCTGCTAGTGCTTTTCCCTAGGCCTGAGCAGGGTCTCTCTTTTCTCCTCAGTGACTGGGGGCCACACTCACCTATAGGCACGATGATCCCGATAACAGCGGCAGTGACTGTTGAGCCCATCTTATTGTCTTCATTTCCATCTGCAAAACACAAACATTTGCAGAATGATGCTCTGTCACTGTGTGTCCAAGCCCATCCTGGCCTCAACTGGTGAGAACTACCCAACTGCATCTCATCTTCATTCTGAAATGATGATCCTGGCTAACACCTAATAATTCAGTCTTTCCAGATCCTATCACAACTCCTGTGAGGCAAGCAGAACAGAGCTCCATTTTACAGGCGAGGAAACTGAGTCTTAACTGAGGAGTGTGGGGACTCACAGAAAAGTGGCAGAACTGGGACCTGAACCCAGGACACATGCCCCAAGTCCCATATCCTTTCCACAGCACCATGGTGGTCGGAGGCTGGGGCTGCGCATGGCAAGGTGAGAACCTAGGTCTTTGTGTTGCTGCTGGACTAGGCCATTTGCCTTTTCCCATCAGTATCTGTTTCTTTGCCAGTATTGTTTTTGGTGAGCTGTCTGTCCATCTGCATTATTATTATTACTTTTTCATAAGTAATTAAAATGGGACATAGTATAGCATAGAGGAATCAAGAGCACAGGCTTCTGTGTCAGACTTCTGGGTTCAAGTCCCAGCTCTACTATTCACTACCCATGTGACCTTGGGCAAATTTTTACATATCATAAATACATCACATGATATTAAACTTTTATATCTTTAAAATGGTGATATTACCTACATCCTAGGGATATGGTAAGGATTAAATGAAATAATTCATTTAAAATGAATATAAAATGCTTGGCACAACTTTGCCTAGTTCAAAGAGGGTAGAGAGGGGATAGGGGTTGTTGTAAGGTCTAAATTTTAAAAATATATGTAAAAGCACATTTTAAACTGAAAAGTGAAATATACGGTCTTTTTGAAAAACTATGCTGTGCCATTTTCTCACTCTTACAATCATCTTCATTGTAACATTTGTGAAGCACTTTATACTTCAGAAAGCGTTTTTCCCTTAGATCCTCCTGACGGCTCCCTGCGGTGTGAAAAGGAGCCATCATCTACACTTGCTGCAGATGAGGAGATGACTTCCCCCAGCAATGGCCCAAGCCCATCCTCTCTCAATGTGACTGTATCCATGTTACTCCAAGACAGTCTAACAATTAAGGAGATAAAAGAGCTGCACTGCTTGCTTCCAGAGCTAACTGTGGAAATGCTGCTCTCCTCCTGCTCTGGGCCACAGTGAACACTGGACAGTGAGAGCCTGAGAAAGCCAGAGAGAAGAAGCTGGTGAGGGGCTCTGCCCTCAGATGAGAGGAACTGGAATTCACACATGTTCTGCCTGCCTCTGCAAACTTTGGAGTAAGTGCTTCACTCCCAAAACCCAGCTTCTTCTGGCAAAATAGGACCAATTAGAAAGGTGCTGCCAAGCAGCTTGGTTTCTGGGCCATCCATGTAGAGGAAAAAATTAAAAAGATAGTTTATCCTTTAAATGAACTCCCCCTGGCAGGTAACTCAATTAAAAAGGTATTTGCTGATTAATGAGATAGAACATTTCTAGCAGTGACAATTATTGCTCCCAATGATTTAATAAGTGGTGAACTTAATTATTTTCATCTCAGGGTTGGAAAAAGGTACAAGGAGGCCATGGTTGTGGATATTACTGTCTGGGGGACCTGCTGGGAACTGAGATCAGAGCTTTCCAAACACAAGGGACCCCTCCTCATATACACATCAAAACTCTGTGAAACATAGACACACACGCACCCACAGAGTCAGCAAGGGCTGTGTGCGTGAGCACCTCCAGTTACACTGGTTACACCTTTGTCTCTCATGGCAATTTTGTGAAGCAGGTTGTGGAAGTGTGGTTATTTCTACTTTGCAAGAGAAGCAACTGAGGCTCAGAGTGTCTCAGCTTCCTGCCAGACCCTCTGTAAGGTAGGGACACCTAGGAGTCCTAAATCACAAACTGGCACTCTACCTGTCTCTCAGATATGCAGTAACCTCCTCAAAGATATGCAGTATTCAGCTCTGGTAGGTTCCTCATATCACATGCCCCTCATCCTGGCTTCCCTAGGAGCCCTCCCATGTCATGAAAGAATGCAGAACTCATTTCCTTACAGTGCTGGGAGTGGTTGCTGGTTGCAGGGCTTAGGGTAGACGGGCTGATGCTGGGAGCCCTGGGGACACTAACTGAGCTTGGGACTGCAGCTGCCAGGCTTGGTGTCTCTGTGCTGTGGTTCTGGTAGGTGGGGCTGTGAACGGTGGTCCCAGGGGCTCTTGCGGTGGCAGGTACTGTCCTCGTCGTGGTAGAGGCTAACGTCGTAGTTGAGGTAGATTGTGGTGCTGGAGGGGAAATACCACGGAGGTCACTTGGACAGATAATTTTGTTGGCTAAGTTATTGCCTCTGAGTTATACTTAGGAACTTATCATCATGGCGTAGCTCAAATGCCCCTTCTGTGAAGCCTTTCCTGATCTCCCCGGTGGGCTATGATCTTTTATTTAGCTGAATGCTAAGCACTTCACTTTGAGGCCATAAAGATGAGTCATTAGAACACTGCTGTAGAATTAGTTGTGAGTAAAACCACCAATAAAAAGACCGCAGGAAGGGGAAATCAGATACATCTGAAAGAATTTTACACTCATATTGTCATACTAATAGATTTAAATTCTTATTCCACTTTAAACAATTAAACCTATAAATTATTAATAATGCAGTAGACTTAGGCTCAAATAAAAGGCCTTAGCTATACATCAAGTTTGGGACATGAATATATGTATACAGTCGAAGTATAAACTTACTATTAGTCCCAATCATGTTGCAGAAGGGCTCTTGTGTAGTGTGTGTTAAGTTCTAGGTGAGAAATAGGCAGACACATAGTTATCTGCATGTATCTGAAGACATGGAGATTAAGGGTTCTTACTATGAGGTTTTTAAAGGGTTCCAGAAGCTCCCTGAAACCAAATTTAAAATATTTTATGTATATGTGCATTTTTTTCCTTGGGAGTGAGAAAAAGCTATGGAAGGATCCTGGGGGGATGAGCATTCGAGGAAGGTAAAAAAAAGAAACCCTGAAAAGACACCAAGTAGCCATGGAAGATGGAAGAAAACCAGCAGCATACTATGTCCCAGAGCCAAAGGAAGATTTCAGCAGAGTAGGGTTCTGACACTGCAAGGGGCCACCCCTCCTGGAAGGTCTACTTACCTCGGTAGCACCTCTTCATGTCTGGACCTAGCCACATTGTGTCAGGACAGGCACACGTGTACTTGGGAGAGTGGCTGGAGATCTGAGGAGCAGGAAGGCACAGGTACTCACAGCCTCCATTAGGCTGGGCACTCAGCTCACAGGCATCTGCAGCTAATGGCAGAGAGGGAGACAGCTGGGGCACAGATGGGACATTCCAGGTCTTCCTGCCTTCTGAGGATGAGGTCTTTCCCACCTGGCTTGCTCAAAAAGCTTGCCCTACTACCTTTTTTATGTATTCTTTTTCTTTTTCTTTCTTTTTTCCCCCCAAAGCTCTTGGATTACAAGTGCTGGAACTGCAGGCATAAGCCACTGTGCCCAGCCTCCCTACTACTTTTACTGGGTACTTCCCAGCACCGTACCTGGTGTTTTATCCCCACATTCTCATTTAATCCTTGCAACAATTCTGAGAGGTGGGGATATTACACCCCAGACCGACAGATAAAGACACCTAGGTTCAAAGAGAACAAACTCGTCAAAGACATATTCTATGAAATTTTTTTTTTTTAAGAGAATGGGTCTTGCTGTGTCACCCAGGCCAGAGTACAGTAATGCAATCACAGCCCACTGCTGCCCTGAGCTCCTGGGCTCAAGGGATCCTCCTGCCTCAGCCTCTCAGTGTTAGGATTACAGGCATGAGCCACCATGTCTAGACTGGAGATAGAACTTAAATTGAGGTCTGCTGGGCCCCAAAGCCCATAAGCCCATGGTTTTTGTTTTTTGCCTATGCCACATACTATGTCTCTCATTTGAACTTCTAGGTCAAGAATCAGGCACCAATCCTATCTTCTTACACTCCCTTGCTTTCCCAGCTTCATTCTGGCAGCCAACACTTCAGTTACAGTTAGAATTAGTATATCCTAGTGTTAGAGGAGGGGACCTAGTAGTAGGACTCCTAGATTCTATTCCCAGCCAATATGCTGACTTATTATATGGCCCTCAGATACATTAGCTTATACCACTGCAAAATGGCTACAAATAGCAAGTTAGAAGCAATGTGTCATGATGGAAGCAGCTTTGGAATCAGATAGACCTAGGTTTAGGTTTTAGTTCTGCCACCTGCTAACATTATTTTACCTCTCTGAGCTTCTGTTTCCTCTACTGTGAAAAGAGAAGAGTAATACCCACACTTTGTAGGATTGGCAAAAACAGGACATTATGTATTCATTCATATACAGCCATATTTCACAAAGAACTTGAGGTAAAATGAGATAAAACATGATGATAAAGTACTCTACCAACAAGAAGGATTGTTATTATTCCTGGGGTTGCCGAGTTGTGACCTGAATGTGAACATAGCCTCCCTGGTGGAAGGAGAGGACACAGGGAGGGGACCTGGAACCTAGGACCAGAGACAGCTCACCTCTTGGCTGCTTCAGCTCATGGAAGACAACAATGTCATGTGGGTTATTGAGGTTCTCAGCCAGGGTGGAGATTTCCAGGCCATTGAGCCGATTTGCACTGAAAATGGCCTCGTTCTCCAGGTCTGTCCAGAACACCTTGTCCTGTGGGGTATAGATGCAGAGGATGGAAAGTGTGGAGTCTAAATCCATGACCTCAATCTGAGGACTTGGCCCCAAACCATAGTCATGAGAACTGCCCTAACATCTCTCCTGAGCGGTTTGGTCCATGGATTCACAGTGGGGCTCCCAGCCTCTGATCTGTGATGTGCCTCTCTTGCTTCCCTTCTATTTTAGAAGATTATTAGGTGATTCTGTGCTTTGGACTGACAGCCACAACATGACTCATTCATGCTGAACTAAGCCTGCTTGCTAGAGCCCAGCAGAAACCCAAGGTTAATCTCTATAGCTATTATCATTACTGGGGCCTGGGACCAAAATTGGAAGGGATGTGTGAGTTATGATGGTTATGCCCTGCTGGGCCTCCTATAGCCTCTGGGTGTGCACACGAGCCCACATGGTTAGTCTATATAAGCCTAGATGTGGCAAATCCACACATACAGGTACAACTGTGCATCCTGCACAGATCTAAACACATATTCAAATGTTCATCCACATACAGAAAGCTACATTTTCCCCTAAATATGCAGCCTAAATACATCTTTGTATGTGTATGTACATGCATAAGCACCAGCACACAGAGGAATGTATACCTTTATTCTGATGCATTTGTATATACTCATGCATATATGCATACTTTACATGTACATGCTATGTATATGAACAAGCACACACACTTGTGTCCCAACACACCTGTCTTTTAAAGCAGGGGCTGGACTTAGTGGTGGAGTTTTGCCCACAATTTCAGAGCAGTGCTGAGTAATATTGCTGCAAGCAAATCCTGCCAATGACTACCACAGACCATCATCCCCTTGCTTTCCCTCCCCTTGGTGGCAGATTTAATTTTGGGGAAGAGGTGAATGTGTAAGACCTTGGTTGGTTCTGGCATCCTCATTTGTGGAGAAGAAAGGTCATTAGGGTCAGGGTACAGGAGGGTCTTGGCTCCTCACCTTCTTGGGAGCTTCTTGAGACTAGGATAGTGTCTGATTCACTTCTGTGACCCCAGCTCTGGCAGGGGTCAACAAAAGCGTGCAGAATTGAATAGCATCTCTCAGGCAGGAAATGATTCTAAGGCTATGTATGTTCCTTCTTCCTTTCCTTCCTTTACTGGGTACCTTTTGTATATGGGGTACAGTGCTAGCTGCTGAGGGCACAGAGAAGAAACATACATGCCTAGTAGCTCACCTGTGAGAAGTGCTCTGAGAGAGGGGTCTTGGGAAGACAGCGTGGGAAAGGCTGCCAGGGGGAGAGTGGGCTGCAGAGCGTTTGTGTGCAGGCAGCTCGCAGATTGTATACAAACAAATCAGTTGGTTTCCCTGTTCCTGTTTTCATTTGAAGAAGTCTCAGGAAGTCATCCTGTTTGAACAAGCATTTTCTAGGCTTCAGCTTCCTAGTGGGCTGATGCCTCCCCCGAGACTCACCTCAAACACAGCTATCCCAAAAGGGTGGCTCAGGAAGTCAGCAGAGGAAATCAGCCTCTTTCTGTTGCCTCCACTGAAGTCAATGCTGGACAGTTGGTGCAGCTTGGAGTCTACCCAGTACAAGCGCTGGCTCAGCAGATCTTGGGAAGGAAGCAGGATCAGGTCATGAACCTGGGACCCCAATCTGGAGCTCTGCTCTTTTGTACCCCTCCCTGGCCACATACTGAGGCCAGCCTAGGGCAGCCATCAGGAAACAAAGGCACTGGCACCATGAGAGGACATAGAAATTCTGTCTGGACCCATGGTGTTCCAGACAGTGATTAGGATAAGGCACTAGAATAGGCCCCCAACCCAGGAAAGGCAGGGCTCACCCAGGGTGATTCCGTTGGGCCATTCAATATTGTCTGACACCAGTGTTTGCCGGTCCACACCGTTGAGCCCAGATTTCTCAATCTTGGCCTGGTACCCCCAGTCAGACCAATACATGAACCTAAAAGACAAAATAACCCAATCTGGTTCCTGTTGGGGACAGGTAGTCTGACTCACAAGAGCTCAATAACCCATTGACTAGTTGAGGGTTATGTTTAGTAGGGACTGAGAAGACCTCTGAAGTCCTTTTGAGCCATCAAATCTTAGCATTAGCAGGCACTTTAGCCTTCACCTCATTTGAGAACTGGGTTTGAGGAAAGCTGGATTCTCCAAGATTGCACCCAGCCTCAGCTGAATAGCCTGTGAGCCCATCTCTCCCTTTTCTGGCAGTGCTAACTAGAGCCTTAGGGTGTCAGTGTGGGGAAGGCCCCTAGTAAGCCCTCTCTATTCTGGTTGTAGAGCAGACAGTGGGTAACCTTCTTAACTCAGGTAACCCCCACCCCCAGCTCCTGTCTCCTCAGGCCTACTAGGGCTGGGAGTAGCCCACTGTTACTAATCCAAGAGAGTAAACTAGACCTTACCCACTCCTTTGTGAATAGTCCCTTTATTAAACCCTCCTTCAGTTATCTTGAGTATGCAGTGGGTTTCCTGCTGGGACCCTGAAAGATCCACAATGGATCGGGGTTGGGCTGGGTGTAACTCTGTGATGTGAGGGACAGGATGTGGCAGGCACAACACAAAGTCTGCGTGAGAACAGACAGGGAGCAGGGATGAAGTGAAGGTGAAATGAGAGGCTCAGTATCTGTCAGAGTGCCTAGTACTGTGGTGGGAGCACCTGACGTATGCTCAGTGAATAGCAGCTATTAGACACTTCCCAAGGCCTCATGTAACCTCCCAAGTGGCAGTCCCCTCACCAGCTGCCCTTGCCTGAAGAAGAGGGTTTTCTTATCCCTCTTTAGCAAGGAAACAGCAGTAGGAAGCAGCTGTTGATTCTGGTAAACTTAACATGATACAACACTAAAAAAACCATCTCAAGATATCTCCACTGAGGGAGAGGGAGTCCTGTTCTGTTCAGAATCCCAAACTCCCAAAATTCAGGGTGCCCACAGCAGGGCAGCCTGGGTGGCGAGGGCCCAGAGACCATAGGCAACAGATGTGGGGATGGAGGTGGGCAGTCTGAAGAACAGATGAGTGATCTTGGAGTTGAGATTTGAGGAAATCTTGCTGGCTCTCCCACAGGGCAGGGAATAGACATATTTTACGTAACTCCAGAGGCCAATGGAGGAAGTTATAGAGAGACAGATTTGGGATTATGAGGGAAAAACTCCACTTGCTAATGGGCAGAGCTGCCCCACAATGAAACAGGCCCTGTGGAAGGTAATGAGTTACCTGTCTTTGGAAGTATGTGAGCAGCTGCCAGATGCCTATCTACAGTAGCCTGAGGAAAGGCTTCCTCCCCCAGGAGCTTCTATCAGGCCATCTCTAGAGCCCTACTCTGCTCTGAGATGCTCCAATTCTATGGATATAACAAGTGGTGGGACAGTCCAGGGAGAACTTTGGTGACCAATGCCCAGAGAACCTCGGTTGGGGATTAACAGGCCTGTGTCTGAGTGGCCCTGAGCTTTTAGGGATCTCAAGATAGCTCTTGTGACAGACATGAGAGGACTGAACACCTATAGTGGGAGAATGGAAAGTTCAGTGGGGACACTCACCCTCGCAGGGGGTCAACAGCGATGGCTCGGGGTTCACTGAGGTTACGGCTGAAGAGAGTGCATCGGCGGCCACCATCAACTGTGGCCACTGAGATGGTCTTATTGCCCGAGTCGGTCCAGTAGATGTGCCTGTGGACCCAGTCCACTGCCAGGCCCTCTGGAGAGTGTAGCTGCTCGTCAATGAGGACCTCCTGCTCTTTCGGGTCACTGGCCTTGTCCATGTAGGCGCTTAAGAGAAACCAGAGATGGCCATGGCATAGATGTTCCACCCATTGGTCCATCTGGAGCTGCCTGTGCACCCTTGCCCTGTCTCTCTTCCATCTGGGCCATGGCAGTAGATTTTTAGAGGAACTTGAATAATTTCCCCTCTACACATTCCCTGGGTACCAGGGTAGGGGTACAGGCTTGCATGGGCCATGGTCTGCGGCTTTCTAAGGTGGGGCTGCCCCACAGCTCTGCCCATTAGAGAGAGCCAGATATAATACAATGTGATTATGGAAGGCATTAGAGGTTATGGCAGCAGAGGCATGGAGACTGCATCATTCCAGAGGGCGGGAGAAGGCATTATCGTTGAGTCCTGAAGGATGAGTACGCCAGGAGCCGAGTTCACCAAGACAAAGCTATGAGGGAACAAAAATGGCATGTGCAAATGCCCAGAGGCAAGTCTGCTCTGGAATAGTGAGCTACTCGGGGAGCTGGTTATGTGGTGTCAGGTGCAGGCAGGAACCACATCCTGATGGGCTTTGAGTACCATGCCAAGTAAGTAGGATTTATCCCCAGTGGTAACTGGACAGGCCAGAGGACATAATCCAATAAGCCTGTTAGTTCACTGTGGCATCTGTGTAGTGGATGGGTTGGAAGGGGAGGGAATGAAGCAGGGAAACTGGTTAGGCGGATGTTACAGCGTCTAGGTGGAAGATTAAGAGAGTCTGAAGAATGACCATGCCAGTGAGAATGGAGAGAAGGGCTAAGAATACGGTAGACACTCAGGAGGCAACATTAGCAGGACTTTCTTTCCCAAATGCTATTTCCCCAGAGGTTTTCTTCTTGCCCTCTCTCTGGGTGATTAGTTCCTTAGCATCCGCTGCCATCCATAACTAACTCTCCAATCCCAACAACTCTCTTAAGATCCAGACTGCAAAGCCAACTAGCTCTCTTTGGATGTCCCACAGACACCTCAAACTCAGTATGTACAAAACTGTTCATCACCATTCCCCTCCCCTCGGCCAACCAGATGGCCCAACCCCTGACCCCTGATCCTCATCCATTGCTTCCCACATCAGAGAACAGCACCGCCATCCATGAAACCTCCCAAGCCAAAACCCTGAAACTCCCAAAATTCACTCTCTGGGAGTAAATGTCCTCCTTTAGCCCCACGTCTAGTCTCACCAAATCCTGCCTCTTTCAGTTACAACTCTTGGACAGGCATTGTTCTAGTTATGTTTTGAGGCAGGAATCTAGTTGTCAGTGAGTGGCACTTGCTATGTTTGCTTCCATCCACTCGTCCACCCATCCATCCCATTGTTCTTTCATCAGTGATTCAGTGTCTACCCAGTACCTGGTCATTGGCACTCCTGCCAAGTGGATCTCAGGGCAAAAAAAAGGACATGACTGTCTAAAGGGGGCCCAGACACACAGGGAGGCAGGCTGCTGGCATCTGAGAAAGTCCTAGGAGAGAGCTTCCTCCAGCATGTGAAGAGCTTCCTCAAGCACCCAGGTCACTGACTGTGGTGTCAAAGACACAGTGAAAACCTGGCCTCACTTGCTGGGTGACACACCCATTTTCCTTAAAATAGTAGTGACAATTCCTACTCTACAGGTTGCCTGGGAGTGATCCCATCCAGGAAGGCACGTCCGATCAGAGGCCCAGGTGTGGTCTGAGGTCTCCTCTATACTTTCTCCTCATCATCATCACAAGTAGATGTCACTGTGTTGTGAGTTGGATCCTCTGGGCAGGGACCAGATCTAACTCATCTGGAGTCCCCAGGGTCCAACACGCAGGGATGTGAGCTGCTTGGAAAGTCCTCCCTAAAGCTAGAAATTCTTCCTTTCTGCTCTGGCTCAAAATTTCCTGTGTCTTTTGCTTCCACATTAGGTCTCCAGAGGTCAGGCCAGGCCCAGGTGTTTGGGGCTCAAAGCTGCTCACCCAAGGGAGCCCACCCTCAGCCTACTCTAGCCCCAGTACAATCCCAGAGGTTTCATATCCACTGTGATCCTGCATCTCTTCACAAGCCCCAATCTGTCCTGAGGAACTCCAGAGGCAGAGGCCACTCTCCCCTCCTCATCTGTCACCACCCGTCACCCCCACTCTTCGGGCTTTGCTGCAGAGGATGTGGCTACTCACCTATAGATCTTACGGTAGGAGAGGTCACACCAATAGATGCGATTGGTGGCAACTTCCACATCTAGTGCCACGACGTTCTTGAGCATGGGGATGAGGCGTGAGTAGTTCCGCTTCACCAGGTCAATCTTCCGTACCTCGTGCCGATTGGTGAAAATTAGGGATGGGCTCTTGCCAGCTGCCAGCCAGGAAAGTTGAAAGAGAAAGAGTCAGTGCAAGAAGCAGGGAGCCTGGAGACCAAGACTGCCACTCACTTGCTGGGTGACACACCCATTTTCCTTAAAATAGTAGTGACAATTCCTACTCTACAGGTTGCAGAAGCAGATGAAATAATGAGTACAGAAAGCAGAAGATGCAGAGCACCATGCATATCAGGAGGATTTTTATTCTTTTTACTAGATACAAACTTCTCCAAAATCCTTGATGGCTCCCCAGTTCCTCCTTAGGCCTGTGCTGAAAGCCTTCTACAGTGTGACTCCAAGCTCCCTGTCCAGCCTCATTACCTGCCCCTCCAGCATAGCCTGATTCCAGCTACCAGATGCCATTACCTAGCCATGGACGGGCTTCCTGCCTCAGGGCCTTTGCTCAGGTTGTCCCTTCCACCTACCATGCATTTCTTTCCGGCAACTACAACTTCTCTGCCTGGGCCCTAATGGTGTGGTTCAAGAAAGAACTACCTGAGCAAGCAAATTTCTTAGAAAGGTAACTTGGGGCTGGGCACGGTGGCTCATACTGGTAATCCCAACACTTTAGGAGGCTGAGGCTGGCACACTGCTTGAGGCCAGGAATTTAGCCTGGGCAATATGGCAAAATCAGATCTCTATTAAAAAAAAAATTAGCTGGGCATGGTGGCACATCCCTGTAGTCCCAGCTACTCAGGAGGCTGAAGTGGGAGGATCATTTGAGCCCAGGAGGTCAAGGCTGCAATAAGCCATGATTGCGCCACTGCACTCCAGCCTGGGTGACAGAGACCCTGTCTCAAAGGAAAAAAAGAAAGAAAACTCAGGACAGAAAGTGCTGGGGACAGCTGGGCGCGGTGGCTCAAGCCTGTAATCCCAGCACTTTGGGAGGCTGAGGCGGGTGGATCACAAGGTTAAGAGATCGAGACCATCCTGGTCAACATGGTAAAACCCCGTCTCTACTAAAAATACAAAAATTAGCTGGGCATGTTGGTGCGTGCCTGTAGTCCCAGCTACTTGGGAGGCTGAGGCAGGAGAATTGCTTGAACCCAGGAGGTGGAGGCTGCGGTGAGCCAAGATCGCGCCATTGCACTCCAGTCTGGGTAACAAGAGCGAAACTCCGTCTCAAAAAAAAAAAAAAAAAAGTGTTGGGGACATAGCAAGAGATAAGCTTCAGAGCTTGGCAGGGGCCAGATCACAAAGGGGCCACGAGCTGGGTGAGAGTTTGTTCTCTGTCCTGAGCCAATGGCAGAGATGGGACATATGTGATATATGACACAGATTATATACATGCAGTAGAGACAACGTACAGCTGCTCATGTATACACAAAAGCTGTTGGTTTTTTTAGATTTAGGGTTAGATTTTAAGATTATAAATAAGTGACCTAGACTTCCCTGGCTACTCCATATGGAAGGTCCCTGTCCCACAGGCCTCTGAGGGCCTAGCACCAGCTCCCACAGGCTGTTTCTAGATGTATTGGGCCACTCTCTGGCACCAACACTGTCTGAGGGGCTGCTCCTAGTAACACCTGTCTCTCAAGCTGCCTGTGCCTTCTCTTGTTTTCCAGCTGACACTTCTGCCAGCCACCAGTCCCTGTCACTGTGCATCTGTGCCAGGCTAATGTGCTCCCCGGAGGATGGGACCAGCACAGAGCCATGTAGGGCCTGGGGCTAGGTGTGTGACCTGTGTGTAGTGATGGAGACTAATTCAAAGCAGGCCGGGGGTGAGACGGAAGTGTGGTACAAACAGAGAGCATGGAGAATGGGCTCAAGGAACAGGAGGGGGCAAGGACGAAAACTGAGTTCCAGGCCAGGTCTGCCACTGACAAGCCGTGATTGCCCTCACCCCAAAATGACAGCAATGACACTTGACCTCCCTGAAGGCAGGAGCCAAGTTAAAGGGGCATATTGGAGTGATTTTAAATGAGGGCCGTGACTGTGACAGGAACCCCGTGTGTTTATGATTTGAGATTTTATGTAATTGCACTTTAAATATTCATATGTGTAGATTTTGTGTATGCATGGGTAGTTGCATGTTGTCTCCAGTGCATTTACATAATCTGTGTCATGTATTACATGTGTCCTATATGGGGACAAGAACAGGTTACATGTCATATGTGATATACTAATGTATGTGTTATATATTATAGTTTGGGTAGTATACTTTTTGGGTTTAATATGTCAGTATTGTGGCTGCTGTATTGTTATAATTTATATGTTATATATTGTATTTAATGTGCATATGAACTCCAGACTCTTATATCCAACTGCCTACTCAATATCTCTACTTGGACATCTAACCAGTTTTCTTAAACTTAACCTGTCTAAAACAGTCTAATATTCTTCCCAAACTGCTTTCCTCACCATGTTTCCCAAGCCCATAAGTAACAATCTTATTTTTTCAGTTGCTGTAACTTTTTTTTCCCACATCCCACATTCAATTCATAAGCAAATCCTGTTGGCTAGCCTTTGCACTATATCTGCAGTATGTCCACTGCTCATTATTCCCACAGTTATAATGTGGGAATACGGGCTCAGCCACCATCACCTCTCTTCTGGATTATTGCAATAACCTCTTAAGTGGTTTCCCTGACTCCTCCCTTGCCCTTTAGAGTCTGTTCTCAACACTGCAGTCAGAAGGACCCTCTTAAAATGTCACTCCCCTACTCAGAGCCCTCAGTGGCTTCCCCTGACTTAAAGTGAAATCCAGAGTTAGCTCTTCCAATGGTCTGGAAGGCCCTTTGGGCTGCCCCTAGCCACCTCTCTGGCTTCATCTCTTCCTAGTTTCCTTGCTCCAACTGTATCAGCTTCTTTGCTATTCCCTGAACATATTAGACATGCTCCTGAATTAGGGCTTTTGCAGCTTCTGACCCTTCGGCCTGAAATGCTGTTCCTGCAGATAACTGCATGGTGGCTCACTGTCTCTCCTCCCTCACTTCCTGTTCCATTTTTTTTTTTTTTTCTAGAAAAGGTCTCACTGTCACACAGGCTGGAGCACAGTGGCATCATAACTCATTGTAGCCCCAAACTCCTGGTCTCAAGGGATCCTCCTGCCTCAGCCTCCTGAGTAGCTTGGGACTACAGGTGCATGGTACCACACCTGGCTAATTAAACAATTTTTTTTAGAGATGGGATCTTGCTACATTGCCCAGGCTAGTCTTGAACTCCTGGCCTCAAGCGATCTTCCTGCCTAGGCCTCCCAAAGTGTTGGGATTACAGTGTGAGCCACCACACCCAACCCCTTCACCTTCTTTACTCAAATACCCTCTCGGTGAGGGCTTCCCTGACCATTCCATTTAAAACTATAATCCACTGCTCACCTGGACTTCCCTAGTCCCATTCTCTTTTTTCTGTTTCTCCTTAGCCCTTATTGCCATATGCCATACACTATATTTTATTTATTTATCTGATTTCTAGCCTGGCTCACCCATTAGAATATAAGTCTCTTGAGGGAAGACAGGGATTTGCATCTGTTTTGCTTACTGCTGAATCCCCAGTGCCTACCAAAATGTTAGGTGTTCAATATAAACAACTGAACACAATGAATTAATTCAGTTGGCTGAAGTGATCAATGTGTAGGTCTGCCCGGGTCATGCTCTTTGTGTAGACCGCCTATGCCGTGTGTGTAGCCTCTCTGTGGTTCAATTTTGTCTATATATTCTGTTGTATGAGTGTCTTCTCTGTGGGCTGTATTGGGTGGCCCTATACAGTGTCTGTGTGGGTGTTAGTATGCAGGGCATTGTGTGAGCACCGTGCGTGCAATGGTTAGAGTAGGGAGACAGCTGAAATGAGCAGAAGGGGGAGCCCCTGAGAAAAGGGAGGTCTGGAAAACCTCACACCAGAGACCAGCCAAAACACGCATGCTAGATATGAGCAGAGAGGAGGGGAAATACCTGTGCAGAAAGGAACACCCCTTAAGATGCCCAGTAACCGCTCACTCTGCAGTTCATCGGGAGGAATGTAGCTGAGGAGGAGGGGGAGGGCAAAGGGGAAATTCCTGAGATAAGCAGGCCCAATAAGATTTGACTGCTATACAACCTTCCAGGGGTGGCGGTAATGAGCCATGTCACCATTAGGTACCATCTGTACCCAGAGCTGGGCATGTGCATGAACTAATAGTAAGGGGAGGTCCCACAAACCTGGGTGGGAACCAGGTGAGAACAGGCAGGGACTTAAGGCAGGAATGAGAAAACTAGACAAAAAGGCAGAGATTTAGGACAGAGACGGGAACTTCAAGAAAAAAAACCCAATGCAGAGCTCTGAGGGCTGCTGCTGGCTGTTTCTCTTTCAGCAGCCTGCCCTGCTCTGTCTCACCTTTCAGAGTACACTGTCCCTTTAAAGAAACACAGCTATTGCTGCTGCTCCCAGCTGGTTCAGCCTGCTACTGTCTTGGAGTGTACTTTTATCTACTTAATAAACCTTTGCTTATGTTACTAATTGTCTCTTGGCTGAATTATTTCTCCCAAGCTAGATAAGAGATTGAGGATTCCTGCACTTCTCAGTAACACAACCTTGTACACATCCACTCCTCACATAGGTGGAAACACGCTGCTTCCTATATTCCTTTCAGAGCTGTCCCCCTGCCCTCGGGTGTCCGTACCAGCAGCCTTGCAGTTCTTGGTCAGTAGGTCCATCTCGTAGCCAGGGTAGCACTCGCACTTAAAATAGCCCTTGTAATTGACACAGATCTGGCTGCAGGCATCTGGGTCCTCGCACTCATCAATGTCTGTGGGGAGGAGCAGGGGTCAGAACTGGAAGGAGGATCTGCTTCTGCTTGGGGGTGTGGGAGAAGGTCTCACCGCCACAGGTCTTCTTGTCCAGGAGCTGGAAGCCTGCTGGGCATGTGCATTCAAAGCCATTCTTGAGGTCAGTGCAGATGTGTGAGCAGCCGCCATTGTTGTGCAGACACTCATTCAGCCCTGGGGAGGGACATGGGCTCTTGAGGCTCCAGGAGCCCAGGAGGAGTGGGGGCAGGGCAGGGGGGGTGCCTAGAGCAGAAGCAGAGCCTCAGGGCAGTGGGACTCCCAAAGAGCCAGGAGGGCTTCACAACCTCATGGAGCCTCAGTCTCATCTGCTCGGTGTCTGAGCAGGAGGCAGTACAGAGAGGGCAGGTCCCTGCTCAAGGCCAGACACAGAGACAGGGTAGAGGGGAACCAGAACTCAGGTCCCTGGCCTCCCAGCTGGGGATCTCTCCACCACGGAGCGGGAGGCAACTAGGCCTTCCCCAGCGGCTCAAGGTCTTTCCTTTCACAAATGTTTCTTGCAGCTCCTCCTTCCTCATGACCTCAGAGTTGAAGGGGCCTGTATCACATCCAACCCTCAGGATACTCCCAGAATCCCTTCCAAAATGCCCCTGCTTAAACATCTCAGTCCCAGGGAGCCCATGTCCCCCAGAGGCAGCCAGCTCCACTGTGAACCAGGACTGCCTGCTGAGCCTTCTGCTTCTGCTCCCAGCTCTGCCGCGTCAGGATGGCCAGGGTGCACAGGCTCCCTCAGGGCTCCCACAGGCTCCCTCGCGGCCTCCTTAAAGCACTGATATCTGGGCCCCTGCCATTTGGGTCCCTTTCTCTGGACTCACTCCATCTGTCCACGTCCCTCTCTGGACAGGGCCCAGAGCTAGTCTGCCACACAGAAGGAATCTGAACAACACAGGATGACTCCTAATGTGCTTGTGATTATTTGAGACTCCTGGGCCTTTTTTTTTTTTTTACATGGAGCCATTGCTAAATCAGTTCTCTCCTACCATGAACTAATATGATGGATTTGTTCAACTCCTCTCCTCTCAGCCCCTGACCCTGTTCCTCCATCTTGTCATGGACCTGGTCCCAGGATTACCACCTGCTGCGAGAGGTGACAGGACACCTGAAGGTCACCTGGTTCTGGTTCCCCATCCTCCACTCCCTCACTACCTTCTGGCAGGGTCCTAGGGGAGGTCAGGTAGGCCAGGATCAAAGTTCTCACAGCATCTCCTGAGCTTTAGAGTCACAGAAGGTTAATTCCACAAGCCAAGGGGACGTGCCACGCCCCTCTGCCCCGCAGGCTCATGCACCGCCAGTCCAGCCAAGCCAAGCAGTGCTGAGCTGAGCCAGCCATGGCCATGCATATAGCTGGTTTGAACTGCCCCCCCCCAGGCCATGCACAGCTATGGGGTGCCCGCACTTGCAGCCTGAGCCATGCTTAGGGAATGTCCCCTTTACCCCTGGGCCTCCTCCTGTTTCCCAGGAATGTTGGTGGAACTGAAAGAACAAGACCACAGCAACCCCATGACTGGGGGACCCAGGGATGACTCAGCCAGGTCCAGCCCTGGAAAGCCTCAGACTCTTGGGGGTGGGCCAAGCCATGGCAGCTCCCACCTCCAGGAATCTTTCAGTTGCTCGAAGCCCTTCCTGACAGCTCCTTTCTGTGTTAATCCCTGAGCACGTCCAGTCATCTGTTCTCCCACTCACTCACTGCCTCATCATGCATCCACTCGCCTCCTTCCTCTCCTCTTGCAGGCAGCAGCAACCCAACAGTTGTGTTTACTGAGCACTGGATGAAGTGGCATGTGTAGGTAGGATGGCTCTGAAAGGGGAAGGCGAAAGGAGAGAGCTCAAAGTGACTGGCTTCCGATAAAGGAAGGCAGAGTCCTCCAGGGCTGAGGTGGGTGAGGGAAGAGAAAGCAGAGCAGGTCTGCAGCTGTCCATCCCTGTGGCCTTTCCCCAGGATGCCTGCAGGGAAGTCTGCGGTCCTTCTTAATTCTACCGAGCCTGGGCATGATCCCACTGGGGAGCCAGGAGAGGAGGGGTATGGGGTAGAGTGGCACAGAGGCCTGAGTAGTATTTGAGGCTTCCTTCCATGGAAGGAAGAAGTGGTGCCACTGCACAAACCTGCATGCACACAGCTGCATGCACACAACTGCATGCACACACACCAGCTTACGTGCAGAGCACAGACAGTTCCATGGACTCCATAGATACATTCACACATACATGGGACCACACACACAGATGCATGAATGCAGTTCCCCTGCTTTAATCAGAGCAGAAGATATGGATACAGACACTGGCTCTCACCAACACAGACAGAGAGGACACATGCAGACACAAGCATGTGTGTTCATACTCTTTGGTGTGTCATGCAGACAATGAGAGAAGAGGCGGTTTAGTAGGCTAGCGGTCCCTGGCTACTCCAAATCTAGGTGTGGAGGGAGCAAGGCTCAGAAGCTCTGCCTTCCCCGTCCCTTTTTCCACAAGTTCCTTCTCTTGGCAGGTCCTGGAGGCAGAGTGAGTTCTGTCTCCTGCCAGCTCAGGTAGAAGCTGAGTCACCTTCACTCAGCTACTCTTCCTTTCACAATCAGTTTTTTAATCTTCAAAATGGGAGGAAACATGAAGTTCCTCTAAGCGTCCAGGACAGGAGGTGCTGGGAAAACAGTCTGCCAGGGGGTAGGAGAGGGAGGGACTGACCTGGGCTCTGTCCTCCAGGGCTTCTCTGTCAAATGTCCCTCAAGCCCTGACCTTCTGGGAACAGTGAAAAAATGACTCATGAATCTTCCTGGAGTCCACACTGGGTCTCCAGCATGTTCTCGGGAGGCCCACCCTATCTACAGCCTGGGCCCTCTGTTCTTCTAGCCTGGAGCCCACCTTGATAGCTGCAGCGGCCATGAGGGCAGCTGCTTCCTTCCAGGCCTCACTCTAGTCTGGCTTGCAAGTCTGGTCTCCCATCAGGTCCGAGCTCCTTAGGGCTCAGGGTGGTGCCATCGCCTGCTGCAGGATCTGCCCTACTCCCACGAAGGTATGGCCTGAGCAGTAGCCCTGGATGTGCTTCAACTGGCTGGCTGCCTGCTGTGCCCACCTCTCCCTCTGCTGGATCTTCTGCAAGGGGCTAGAAGACCTCAGAGCCCAGGGCCCTAGCTAGGTCAGCAGGGCAGGAGCACCGAGGAAGAGAGGTTTCAGAAGGCACACACGCAGAGGTCTGAATGGGGAAGGAATGAGGAGAGGCCAAGTTTGTGACAGAAAGCATAACTTTTTAGTACCTGGGATGGGAAAGCTCTTAGAACTTTGTGGTGATGCAGAACCAGAGGCCTGGGAGCAAAGAGCCCCATGAGAAGCCATAGGACAGCACAGGAGTCCAAAGAGAGGGTCAGAGCAGAAAGTGTCAGGGCAGGGGTACAGGTCTCGAGCCCAGATACCAGGAGGGGGATGGCAGGAGACTGAGTCCAGCCAGTGGGTTTAGACAGGCACCCACCACACTCTTTCAGAGGCTCATCCAACCAGTCCCGGCAGTCCCTCTGTGCATCACACACTCCCACTGTCCACGCACTCACCACTCTTACACTGAAATCTGCAGGGACCTTCACAAGGTGACTGTTGGGCCAGACAACAGAGTGGGCAGTGCCTGTGAGACCTTGGACAAGAAGGGCTGGGCTGGGCCGGGGTGAGCAGAGCTCCAGTTCCAGCCCTTCACAGGTCCCTGGAGCGTGGCCCAGGACAGACAGGCAAATCCAGGAGGGGCAGCTCTGCTCACAGGACAGGACCCCAGGGATGATTAGGAGGCTAAGCCTCATCTAGCTGGGCAGGGCTGTGTGATCTTCATCTGATCTTGCAGGACTAAGATCCTGGGAAGGACCAGGCTCTAGCAAGTCCTTAGAGGCTGAGCTGACCATCTCCTAGGGGGACCTTTGCCCCATGGGCCCTGGATAGGGAGAGCTGCCACACTGCCCGGTCTGTTATCCATTCCCCCAGATGACTAGTGAGTGAGGGTCCCTGCTCCTGCAGAGGGCAGGTTGTGACCAGAAGAGCCATCTGAGAATGAAAGGAGCTCCCTGAGGAGCAAGACTCAGCCTTTGCTCAGCCTGGGAACTAATGAGGGAAGCCATTCAGCGGCTGGGACCTGGACAATGGTGGAGGCTGGACCTCTCAAAGTGCCCTATCCCGTCTCCCTAGGCCTCTTTCAGCTTTGGCAGTCTTTACAAATCCAGTTCTGGTGCCACTAGGACCCCATGGAAAGAGAGCCAGGTGATTTAGGGGGCAAGTGATGTTCGGGGGAAAACTTATCTTGGGACCAAGGGGAGACTCCTCCCAACTCTGCTCTCTCCAGCAGAGTCAGGGCATCGTCACAGAGGAGGTGTTCTGTACCCTGACCACACGCACCCTGTAGGCAGCCAGCTTCGTCACTCCCATCCGGACAGTCCTGCTCGTGGTTGCAGTGCTTGATTGCAAGGACACATGTCCCATCCCCACACTGGAACTCGTCCCCACGGCAGGTGCCCAGTGCTGCCAGGAGAGGGCAAGTGGAGGGAATCAGAGTCAGTGTGGTGCTAGGATGGTTTTCCCACCACCCCTATCTGCATGCCATAGCCACCCTGGGCAAGAACAGAATCGGTGGCTGAGCTCAGGAGTCCTCAGAGGACACTGGCACAAGGCACCTCGGTGTACAGATGGGGAGACTGAAGCTCAGAGAGGGGGAAGGCCTTGCCCAGGGTCACACAGCACTCTGGCTGGCAGTTTCAGGATTAAACCCAGGTCTCCTGTTTCCCTGTCCCTGCCTCTCTCCAGGGCCTTCTTTTGGGTCTTGCTGCTCATTACTTAATGACTTCATCCACTCAGCAAACCCTTCCTGTGCCAGGCGTTGTGCTGGGGGTGGGGGTTGGGAGCCCAGAGACTCCTAAGAGCCTCCTCATCCTCTAGGAGCTCAGGGTGCAGGGCGGGGCTAGGAAAGCTCAGATGTGGACAGCAGTGTGAGGTGAGCTGCAGGAGAAGGCTGCTGGGGACCTCCCCAGCAGAGGGATGGGGAAGGCCAGAGGAGTCTGGGCCAAGCCTTGAGGGTTGAGCAGGCCTAGCAGGCAGAAAGGTGGGAGGAGCTCCTGGGCGGGCCAGGTTTCTGGACAGAGGGGTTGGGGGATGGGGTGGGAAGTACGGCTGGGAGGGCTCACAACAGGGACCACAGGCACCGGCAGAGGCTTCTGGGATTAGACCTGGGCTCCGCAGCCCGGCAGTCGCGTGAAGTCTAACAAGTCCCTTCACTTCTCCCAGCCCTGTTCTCCTCCGTGGTAACCCCGGGCCATGTATCCAGGTAAGGCAACGCAAGGAAGCCTGCACCTGGCGGATCGGAATCGGGAGCGGGTGGCGGACCCGCAGTCCCCGGGCGGGGCGGGGCGGGCGGTATGCAGGGGGCTTACGGCAGTCGGCCTCGTCCGACTTGTCTTTGCAGTCGCGGTCGCCGTCGCAGCGCCAGCCCAGGTGCACGCACTCGCCGCTGCGGCAGGCGAACTGGGCGGCGGGGACGCAGGCGGCCGGCGTGGATGTGGCCCCCGGGCCCGCGCGGCCGCAGAGCTCGGCGGCCTCGTCCGAGCGGTCCTCGCAGTCGAACTGGCGGTCGCAGACCCAGCGCTCCGGGATGCAGGCGCCGCCACCGCAGCGGAACTCGCGGGGCCCGCAGGCCGGGTCCGCACAGCCGCGCTCGTCGCTGCCATCACCGCAGTCATCATCGCCGTCGCACACGAACACGGCGGCCAGGCACGAGCGGTTGCCGCACTGGAACTCGTGCGGGGCGCACACTGCTTGGGACAGACAGCCGGTCGGCCCGTCGACCCCTCCCCCGCCGGCCTGGGGCCCCGCGGGTCCGGCTACAGGGGCTCCGACCCTCACCCAGGGGCCAGAACAAGTCCCTCTCGGGGCTGAAGGCAGGCTTCCAACGTGGACATGCTAGGTGACGGCAACACACTTCCCCTTGGGGAGCCCCGCTGGCTTCACTGGGTGAATGAGCATGAGCATGGTGGGACTAGGAGGGGATTCTAAAGCCTTACAGCGCGGCCTGTCTTGAAGGACCTTGCGATGGTCCCAGGACACCATCTGTTAAATGACACTGGCCCTTCCCAGGGACCAGGGTCTGGGGCTGGCTCCTCATAACACAGCGGTGCAAGCATAACCTTCACTGCTCCGCCTGAGTCCCATGCCTGGCATCTAAGGCATCTCTGGGCCACTCCTGTGGCCCCATCACCTCACTCCTGAACCTTCACAGCCCTGGCCGCACTGGACCATTTGCTGGGCCCAGTGCACCGGCTCCCACAGCTGAGCCTTTGTTCAAGTTGCTCCATCTGCTGGGAACCTACTTCTCGCCCACCACTGTCTCTACATTTTGCAATGATGAGTTCTCCTCTTTCAAGGGCCCAAATTCCACCTCTTCCATGACACCTGGTGTTCTCCACTTGGGAAATCTCTGCCTCTGCCCTCCGTTTCTGAGTCCTCACAGCCTACGCAGGCATCTGGGTTTCATGTCCTTTTCCATCTGCCCCATGACTCCAGCTGCCTGGGGGTGACCCTCCTTTGTCCTGAGGGCCTGGTACAGAGCTCCCTGCAGTGAGTGGGTGTGGAGTGGATGGCACTGGTCTGGCCCAGGTATGACGTGTAATGATGGGATGTGCAGTAATTAAGGGCATGGGTCATGGCTCTGCCTGGGGCTCTGGGCTTCTCTCTGGTAGGCTAGTCTGAGCTCAGGGGCAGGGAAGAACTTAGAGACCAGACAGCCAGCCCTATTGCCAGTTTATAGATGGGGAAACTGAGGCCCAGAGAGAGGAGTAGCTTGCCCATGATGACAACAGAACCAGAACTTGGGTTTGGAGCTTTTCCTTCCTACTCCTCCTCTTGTCTTTTCTGGTTTTCTCCTCCCTTCCTGGAGTTTTTCCAGCTGTTTTTCAGGGCAGTGACCTCCTCACTTCTTGCCCTCCTGTGTGTCCACACACGGGCCAAGAACTGGCCTGTGGGCCTGGGTGGGGCATGGACTCAGTGGCTGTGGCCAAAGGTGATGTGGTGGTGGCAGCACCAGATCCTTCCACGTGGGGGCGCCCAGAATCTGTGTTTTCATTTTCTGATGGAAAACTCAATTTTCATTGTTACTGAAGATAAAATAGAGTGATGTCTTCAGTTTCACCAGGTAGGTAGCTTGGGTCATGTGTTTCTGACAGCTCTACCAAGTGTCTGACAGTTGCCTTTTCTCCCCTCCTGGGCTTCTGAGACACTGGGGCATTGGTGGACAAAGCGCAAGCCACCCCGCCGCCCCTGCCGCTGCCCTGCAAGGTGACGCTCACATCTAGATGAGCTCCCCTCCTGCCTGGCCTTGCCCAGCTCCTGCAGCGTGTGCAGGGAGGGCGGACTTACTGCTTTCCGGGAGTGCTGATGGGAAGTGCTTCTTTTTTAAAAAAAATTTTTATTTTACTCGAAGACTCTGATGGCAAGAAAGTGCTTCTTCATACTGAGTTTCCTCTGAGGGTTTGGAGCCGACAGTAACTTTAAGATCCATATTCTCAGGCCTACGTAGGCCCAGAGACCCTACTCCTGGCACTCACAAATGGAAGCAGCTCTGGGAGGTGAGGGGCGGGAGGACTCTTTTCCCCCTGCCTAGGAGGTGAGGGGCGGGAGGACTCTTTTCCCCCTGCCTAGGAGGGAGGGAACTGTGGCACGGAAGCCCAGTAAGACCTTCGGACACCTCTGTCTCCCATAATGAATGGGGAATGTTCCTGTCCCAACATGCCTCGCTGGAGAGTCGCCCATGCTTGCAGTAGCGGCCTTCATATTGGAGGAACCATCTGATTATAGGGGTTGGAAAGAGGAAAGGATTCTTGTTGGCCAGTGAGTCCCAGCAAAATTATCACAGCTGAGGAAGTGAGCTAGTGCCATCACTGGGACTTTGAAACTAGTGTTCCCAGCCAGGATCTCTCCCTATACCCAGATGCTTCCTGCTTTAGACACATCAAATTCCAAACTTAGAATCTTAAAGTGCGATGATTCACACACCTCTGGAGATGGCATTTTCCCTGGGCCAGGAAAGATGGATGGGATGCAAATATAGAGGCTGGCAGAGGGGGGCAGGTGGCAGTGATGGGCAAGTGCCTGGCAAGCCCTCCAGAGTGACGGCCCGTTTCTCAGCCCCGCCACACAGCCTCGTAGCGACAGCCAGTCTGTCTCCCCCATTAATCATGTGTTCCCTGAGGGAAGACTGTGTAGGATTCACCTCGCTGTCCTTTCAGAGCCTGGCTCCAGGCCTGGCACACAGTAGGTGCCCCTTGAATTGAAAAAGCAAGGCCTGGCCATGCTCCCCATTGGCCCAGACCCTGCTGGCCTGCTCCCTGGGAAGGTGATAATCCTGTGCTTGAAGCTCAGTGATGTGGAACTGTCCCAGTGACCACTTCCATCTGTTCCTGCTGAGGCTGCTGAGAATGTCTCCTCTGCCCTGTGACGTCTGTGCTCAAATCTGAGATTTCAGCAACAGTCGTCCTTGACACCTCAGGAATCCGTCCCCTTCCCCCAGCACTGCTCAGCCCACCACCATCTCTCCATATAGTACCCTCCCTGGTCCCCCTGCCCTTGCTCGAAGATTGGCGGACTTGTGGGATGGACGAGCAGATGTGAGACATGGTAAAAAGCTCATGAGCTCTGCTATCTGGTCCTGAATCTGAATCTCGGTTTCATCAGTCAGCCTCAGGTACTTTTCCTCCCTTGTCTGAGCCTCAGTTTCCTCACCTATAAAATGGGCATGATCATGGCTGCTCATGAGGTGCTTGTGACGATGAAAGAAGAAAATGTCTCCACAGCATCCAGCCATTACTCATGTCCTGGTCATCATCCTTTCCTCTCTGCCTACCAGGCCCCACAGAGAACTGGGCCCCTCCCCAGAAGTGGCTGCCACTCCCTGAGGCTGCCTGACCATGCTTGGCAGACCCTGGGGATCTGACCCCAGACTCACAGGCAGCACAGCCGGCCTCATCCGCTCCACCCTCGCAGTCCTTCTCCCCGTCGCAGCGCCACGAGGCAGGTACACACTTGTGGCTGGTGGGTCCACAGCTCAGCTTCTCTGCAGGACACACCTGCTTGGCTGTGGAGACAGACATCCATGCAGAGCTTAGCCAAGGGGAACACAGGGCATGGTGCCAACCAGTCCTACCACCCTGTTCCAGCCACCTGGCCCAAGGCCCTAGGCGTCCATCAGGGTCCTCCTGGCTCATGTCTGTTTCATTATATGAGAAGCCTCTGTCTGCCCCAGGAGTTTCCAAATCCTAAATCTGACCCCGCCACTTCTCTACATGACATCTCTCATGGCCCCTGGTCCCTGGCCCTCAAGTCCCTCTTCGATCCATTGACCCCAACCTGCCCCACCTGGTCACATCTCTCATCCCTCCAAACCTCAACTGTAAGTTCTGGTAACACGGAGCCACCATGCCATGCACTCTCCTCTGCCATTTCCCAGCTGTGTCCCCTTAGGTGAGATATGTCCCAGCTGGGCCTCAGTTTGCCTTCTAGATCAGTGACTCCATGATTGGAACCTGTAAATTTGGAGGGCTCACTAAGGCCCCAGTGGCTCCAACCGGCCTGCCTCCAAGCCCCCTCCCTGAGTGATGGTGCTGAGCCTGCTGCTGAGAGCAGCTGCTGCATGGCAGGGCCCAGCGGGACTGCACAGCTATAATTACTGCAGCCGCAATCAGAGGCTGACTCAATCAGGGGCCTGAAGCCCCAGGGTTGAATCTCAATTTGGAAGAAAGAATGAGAACCCTATTCAAGGCTGGGGACAGCTCTTATCATGAGTGTCTCCCGGACCCATGTGGCAGGCTCAGCCAAGGCAGATGCATCTGAAACCTCCGTGGTTGACTCCCTCTGGCCTTCCAGGGTGCGCAGGAGGCCCCATCCCTGTGGCCTCTAGGATGTGCAGGGCATGGTGCGAGAGAATTCCATTTAATTTTCACAGTACATCCGCAGGGTGAGAGGAGTATGTGCTGGCCTCCAGCATGGAGGTGGAGGACATGGGCTGTGGAGCCTGGCTGCCTGGGTTCGAATCCTAGTTCAATCACTCACTGACTATGTGACCTTGGCCAACAATCCTTATCTCTGTGCCAATAGAGTGGGGATACTACTATCTCTCATAGCATTGTTATGATGGCTGAGTTAATGTCAGTACAGCAAGCCCATGGAAGAACACCAGCCCAGCGCTCACTGTATGTTACCTAGTATGATTATCCACACAACAGATGACTCTGAGTTTGCTTGTTCACTGAGTATTTGAGCACTGCTGTGTGGCAAACATGGTGGTAAGCACTAAGTTCTGGTCACAGAGCTGGCAGAGAAGAGTGCTAGGGTTGACTGAAAGTCAGCTGTGTCTGAGCCGGAGACTCAGCAAAATCTGTTCCCCCTGGAGGCAGGGGGCTACTCACGCCTCACCCTCCATTTTGCTCTCTGGTCTCAGACAGTTTCTCCTCTTCCTATTTCTACAGCTGGGATGAGAGGCCACAAGGGATATAGAAAAGGGCACAGATGACTTGGGGAGGGGGCAGGTATCTGAGTCAAGGTCCCCGGACACCACTACTGCCGTGGGAGAAGAGCACCTCAGGCCCCAAAAGTGAGGGGCCCAGGGTTAACCCTGGGAATACATTTCATGAGTCCAGGCCAATCCCTTGGGAATACAGGATTCATGGGGTTCATTTCACCGAAATTTCCCTTGCCTGAGGATTGGCAGACCTGTGGGATGGATGAGCAAGTAGCTGTCAGCTTGGAAAGCTGAGCTCTGGAAAGTACTGACACAAAGGCCTTTTTTAGAGGCCACCTTGGGGCTGTGTGCAGGGTGGTGAAGGGACACTGGGAGCTGGGAGGTGGGGCCCTTCCAGGGTACCTGTAGCACCAACGTACTGCAGGACCCCAGGTAAGCACCTCCCTCTGGGCCCCACGGGAACACAGGTAGCTGAAGCTGGCCGGTGCTTCGCCGGGGGTCCTCTTATCAAAGGATCGGGGGTGAGGGAGCTCCTGGAAGTGCAGGTTCTCGAGCCTCAGCTCATCCCGATGAATCTAGACTTCCAGGGCAGAGCCTGGGATGTGCACTTTAGTAACCAAAACCCGGTGATGCCCACGCACCTCTATCCCCGGGCTGGTTAACACTCTGCAACACAAGACATGGGCTATTTCGTCTCTGAAATTTGCTACCATAAAAGCGATGCAGATGTTCCATACACTTGCAAGCCCCTAAGAGAGAAGTGGGATGGAAGGTCAAAGCAAGTACTTACCCCTAAGCCAGGACTCAGGAAACAGAACCTCTCAAGGGGGCAGGAGGGGCCCAGTTTTTGAACACCTACATTGTGTCAGGCTGCTCTGTGCTGAAAATTGCATATTTTTTCACTTCACTCTGCCATGGTCTGAACATTGGTGTCCCTGAAAGTCCACGTTGGAACTTACTCCTCAATGTGACAGCATTAACAGGTGGGGCCTTAAGGAGGTGATTAAGCCATAACAGGACAGCCCTTATTAATGAGATTAGTGCCCTCATGAAAGAGGCCGGAGGGAGCCTCCTTGCCCCTTGCATCATCTGAGGATACAGCAATGAAGTGCCATTATGAGGAATGGGCCCTCACCAGACACCGAAACTGCTGCTGCCTTGATCTGGAACTTCTCAGCCTCCAGATCCGGGAGCAATCAATGTCTGTTGCCCTGCGGGCTGGCAGGCAAATTCCAGGGGTGCCATTCGCAAAGGTCACCACCTAAGTGGCATACCTGGAGTGCAGCAGGGCAGCAGTCCTGCAAGTAAGCACTCCATTTTACTCCATTTCCTCAGTCTGAGGAAACTGAGGCTCACGGAGACCAAGTAACTGGCCCAAAGATGCCCTGCAGGTGACAGCCAGAGCCTGGGTTCCTATGACGAGAGCCTTGCCCTTCCATCAAACCCCGCATGCTCCGGAACCATCCCCAACCTCGCCCCGCAAAAGCCCAGGTGGCTGAAAGGGCCCTTGGCTGCATGCTCTACCACCAAGGGCCTGGATCTACAGGCCCCAGTGCAGCAAGTGACGGGCTTGAACTTTTAATGAATATTTATATAGTTAATTGCATAACCTTTCAGCAAGGACAATGATTAAACAATCTGTCTGCTTCCTTTCTTTATAATTAATAAGACATTTGCTGTATCCCTAAATAGACAGCTCTAATTATAGGCTCTCGAGGATTCAGCAGAGCCTGATACCAGCTCCCCACCTGCAAAGAGCCAAGGCTCTCAGAATGCCAGGACTTGAGAGACCTCAGAGGTCACATTGAGGAGCATCCCTTGGAGTCGAAGGAGACCAAGGCCCAGAGAGGGGAAGCAACCTGCCTAGGGTCACACAGCTACTGGCAGTGGGTATTCCAATTCCTGTCTCTCCTGGAACCTCATTGTGTCTCCTGTGACACAGCTTTCCTCCAAAGGTAGGACTCAAGCCTGGCTCGCAGGGTACCAGGCCAGGCCTCTCCACTGCACAGTTCTGGGAAGTTGGTCTGGGTAATTACTGACACACGGCATCTCCCTAGGAAGTGGATAGTTATTACCTCCATTTTATGAATGAAGGAAGTAAAGTCCAGAGAGAGTAAGCTATTTGCTCAAAGCCTAGTGGTGAGAGGCAGATCTGGACTTCCATCCCAGGTCCAAACACGCCGCTTAACTTAGTGCACCTGACCACAGCACGAGGGAAAAGCAGACCCTGTTGGTCTCCCTGGCACCTCCGGCCTGGAGGGAGGTCACTGGAGGAAGGGGACTCACTGAGCCTTTGGGCAGGTTCTGCAAGATGGCCGCCTGATGTCCACTCTCAGGAGAGCTACAGCCCAGGGGTCCCCAGCAGCATGGTGGAGGAGAAAGAGCCTGGGTTTAGGGGCAGACAGACCTGGGTCCACACTTCATTTCCTGATTCTAAGGTCCTTAGGCAACTCACTGAACCTCTCTGCACTGTGGCTCCCCTCATCTGAAAAGTGGGTTGAATAATCTCCTAGGGCTGGTGGATGGCTTAAATGAGGAAACATAAAATCCCTACACTCAGAGCTGGAGCAAACTAGGAGGTCAGAAAACACTTGTCCTTGTTTTATTTCATGAAGTGCAAATCAGTGGTGGAGGAGGGGCCTGCTGTCACCACTAGAGAATGCACACTATGAGTCCACATGGCCCACCACGATGCAGACCCCGTCGCAGGACAGCCACTCCCGCTGTGACAGGTGCCCCTGAGGGGGCCACATGCCTTTGGCCTGCTATCTAAGTGCCCTAGGTTCTGAGAGAGAGGAGCAAAGAATCCCACTGTCTCTCAGACAACAGGAACCCTCTAAAGCTGGCAAGGGGGCTTTTCATGAAACTCTGCATCCTGTGGTGGCTCAAGGCATTTAAAGGCATTTAAATTCCCAGAGAATCCTGCCCCAGAAATTCAAATCCATTGGTACATTCTCTAATTCATAAATTCACAAATTAACGAAAAGGGAAATGTCTGTTCAATTAAAGAATGAAAGTACTTGGCGGCTGCTGATTGAGGGAGCACACCTACAGTGTCACCCCATGTGAGTTTTAGGGGCAGATCACTCCCAAATCGGGACTGCCAGCTCTAAGGGACCAGAGGCTCAGGTGGTGAGAACTACCAGTGACACTCAGTTCAGCCCGGGCCACAGGAAGCACAGCGTGGGGCCACCCAAGGTGCAGAAAGGGGAGTTACTCCAGGTTCCTTCAGTTGAGGCCAGGCAAAATGCTGCTAGCTGGTCAGTCCCTCACTTACTGAGTGGGCTCAGAAAATCTCTGGGCCTCCATTTTCTCATCTACAATAGGAAGATGAGCCCGGGTCATCAGAGAGGTCCCTTTCCAGGTGGAAAGTTTCTAAGATGCCTGAAAAAACCCTCCATATTCAACTAAATAGCATCCAGAACTAGAACTCACCTTGAACCATCCTCCCCCCGCCCCCTGCCAACAGGAACCTGAAGGTGGGTCAGAAGTGTCCCCAATCAAGTGAGCTACAATTAGAGCTGAAATGCTGTCGACGTTAGGCAAATGTTCTGGGCTTTTCCACTGTGACTCCTGGCTGCATTTGATAGGTACTTAACTCAGAACCAGAGGGAAACAGAGCTGGGAGAAACCCCAGCCAGCTAAGGGCAGACATTGTAATGGGGGAAAACACAAGAATTGGGACCCTCTCTCATATCCCTTTCCCACTCACTGGTGAACACAACGCCCTTCGCCGACACTATTTTGATACTATAGGAATCTAACATCTTAGTGTCTAACAAACTGTTGTGTTGGGGAGCGAGGGCTTGGAGCCAAATAATTCAGATAACACTCCATTTACTCCAGTGATGACACCTCCGTTTTTCCATCTGATTCTCACAATCCCTGTAAGGCAGGTACCATTGCCACATTTTACAGATGAATAAACTGAGGCTCTGGATGACTGGGCAACTTGCCTGAGGTCTGATAGGTTAAAAGACCTGAACCCAACTACATCCGATTCCAAGCTCACTACACTTTACTGCCTATAATCTCTCTTTTAGGGGTAGGGAATAGGGCTCCATCCTGGGAGCTGGCACAGCACCAGGAAGCTGATAGGCTGTGGAGGTTGCTATGGCAACACCGATTAAATGGATAGCAGGTTGTCTGCTAGGTTCTCATTCAGTTGGTAAGCAGTGAGCAAGCCTGCTACCAGTTCCTGCTGCCCCGAATTCTGCCAGATCCTGACCAGAGCACCCACTCTGGCCAACCTCCTCCAGGAAGTCCTCTGCCTTGCCTTCACCTGTCCAATGTCACACAGGAACTGGGTATCATGGCTCTTGCATCCCAGCTAGCACAAGCAAGAAAGGGGGTCTCAGAATACTAAGAGTTTAGGAATCCGGGAATCATGAAGATTCTGGAATTCCGGAATGATACCGATCAGGGCCCAGAGGCAGGTGGGAAGGTAAGCAGGGCTTCACAGTGATAGCTGGGAGAGCCTACAGGACAGCTGGGCTTCTGCCTCCTCAGTGCCGCCTTGGCTACTGCTCCCATAGGTGCCTTGGGAAACCTCAGAGGGCTTGAAGAGCCTTTTTTCCTAAAAGGGAGACCTGCCATGAATAAGCTGTGTGTCTTTGGAGCAAGTCTATCAACTTCTCTGGGCTTCCAGTTGTTCCTCAACTGTGAAAAGTGGGCCTGGGAGGCAGGAGGAGTGAGACAGGAGGGTCCCTGCCCAGCCCAGGGGATGGGAAGGTAGCATGTGCTGGGACGGGCGAGAGGGAGAAAGACAGACAGACACATGGGTAGGGCAGGGAGGAGAGACGGCAAGAGGGAGGGTGAGGATAGATGAGCAGGGAAGGGAAGCAGCCCAAGAGGGCAGGGGTGGGCGGGATCCACAGGGGGACAGATAGGAAGATGAAAAGGGACAACCACACAAAGAGATAGAGATGGGGGTGGGGGCGGGGGAGAGGGGAGCCCAGCCCTCAGGCAGCAAGGCAGCCCCCTCTAATAACCACCATGAGGCTCCTCTCCCTTCCCTTTCTGCACCCCCGCCCCCACCGTGTGGGAGTATCTGCTGGAGTAAGGTAAGGATGGAGCTGGCCGACTGCAGCGGAGGAAAAGCCCCCTGTAGCCACAACCCCTCCCCGAGCACACACTCCAGGCTGCACGCGACTCTGCCTTTTGCTAGCTGGGCAGCCTTGGGCAAAGGGGAGAACCGACTCCAGCCTCAGTTTCTTTCTCTTTACAGGGGATCCTCCTCCTTCCTTAGGTTGCCAAGAGGATGAAAGTCACGAGTGGGCGTGGCGGGGCTTTGTTCCTTCTGAAGCTCAGGACAAAGCCCTGGGCTTCCCTCCTGCCTGGGAGCCACCAGGACGGCTTGGAGTTTGGCTGTGTGGCGGGCGAGGAAAGGATGGGGCCTGCAGCATGGCTGGGGAGGCCAGGAGCAGCTGTACGAGGAAATGAGGGCTCCTGTCTCGGGTGGGGGCCGCCCTCGCTCTGTTCTCTGTCTCTCCCTTTCTCTTTCTCTTATGTGGAGACTGGTAGCTCTGTTGCTAGGAGACAAGGAAACCCAGTTATCACCCTCCACAGTGCTAGATGGGACTCCGGTCTCCATTGTCCCCACCGCTGCCTCTGGGGTGACTGTTACCCCCTGAAGAGGGGCTCCTGGGTCCCCGCCAGCCCCACCGTCCTCCGCACGCTTTCCCGAGCCTTTTGTCTTGGGCTCACGCTGCCGCAGCTCTGCCTCTGGACTGCCTGGTCCTTCCCCGCCCCCTTCTCATCTCCTTTTTAATTTAACAAATGTCATGGAATGACCTGCCGGGTGTAAGTTTGCTTTGAGGATTAGGGCCTGGAAAATGAATCATGGACAGACAAAGCCCTGAGTGTGGGGGCAGGCCTGGGGCTCGGCTCTGGCCTCCCCCTCCCCTGCTGCCTCTGCCACCACCCAGCCCACCCAGGGTAAAGGAAAGGGCCAGGGCCTCGAAGTCTTGGCTGGGTAGCCTTGGGCAAGTCACTCAGCCTCTCTGAGCTTCAGTGTTCTCCTTTAAACATTCAGAAAATAACAGTGTCTGCTTCATGAGGCTGCTGTGGGGATTGAAGGAGTGAAGGCGCATAGAGAGCTCAGCACATGATAAAGGCTTAGGAAGCACCAGCTGCCATTGGCACTGTGGGAATTGTGGTCAGGGCCCTCAAGAGCAGCAGCGGGGAGGCCTGGAGGATGCTAGGGCTCCCTCTGGGCAGAAGGGCTCCACAAGGCTGTTTCCAGCTCCTGCTGCCACAGGAACAAGCTCCAGTCGGCAAGAGGGCTGTGAAGAAAGCCCAGAACCAGGTCAGTAGAAACCAGCAGCTCAACGCACTCGTTTACCAGGAGCGCCCTGGGAGCCTGGCACAGTGTTCAATGCGTCACTGCTCCTGAGCCTCAAGCCTCCCAACAAGGAAGATCTGAGGAGGAAACAGGCCCACCCCACCCAGCCAGAGGGGCAGGACTCACTGCAAGTGGCCTCGGACTCATCGGAGCCGTCAGGACACTCCTCCTCGCCATCACACTTCCACCGCTCACGGATACAGTGGCCGTTGTCACAGGTGAAGTCACTGTCCGCACAGGTCTTCTTGGCTGCAGGGTGAGGAGGAGAACGTGGTGAGCCTGGGAGCAGTCAGAAAGCCAGTGGGGCGACCAGGATGTGCTTGGTCTGCAAGCCAGACCATGGGGCCTCCAATGGCCGCACCAGGCCATGGACTGCCTTGCTGATCAAGGGCAGAGGACAGGAGAGACACGCTTCTTCATTCCACAGGCATTTACTGAACACTGCGTGAAGACAGGTAACATTCTGGCTCTGCCCTCTAAAAGCTCAAATCCAGCAAGCATGTCAAGATTCATCATTTCCCCGTCACACTCCTGCTTCCCCTCCAAGTCTAGTTCCACGGACACTGCCTCCAGGAAGCCTTCCCTGATACCCTACGGCCTTAGCTCCTTCAGCCATTTCTCAGTCCCTTTGCCTGCCTGTCCCACTTTCCCCAGCTGGACCAGAAGTCGAAGTCCCTTCTGCAGGCACCAGGGAGTCTGTGATCATGAATCCTCATATAGATGATTCCTTTGTGGCAAGATGAATGAGGTATTTTGTGTTCGGAGCAGTGGGAAGAGGATCTACTGGGCAAGGCACCCACATCAGTCCCTGCCCCTAGGTGCCTACAGCCTGTGGAGTGGCCTCCACACTGCTCTGAGGGTTTCAATCCCAGTTCCTCCTCCGCCTCCTCCTATCTGTGTGACCTTGAGGATGTTCCCTAACCTCTGAGCCTACATTTTCTTATCTATAAAACAGGGAGAGGAAAACAAAAGGCCGTGAGGAGGAGCAACAAGAAGTTATAATGTATGAAGAATCTGTAACCGACTCAGGCACATGGCAGATGCTGGAGAAGTGGCAGCCACTGCTGTTTTCAGGGTTCGCGTCTTAATTAGAAGCTGAAGGAATGGGGTTCTGTGCCCGCACAGGGATGTAGCAGGCCGAAAGTTCACAGCTGATAATAGAGCTGAGATGAGAATGCAGGTACCAGCCCCAGCCCAGTTCTTTGCTGCCTTCTGTGTCTTGTCCTAAGAGGAATCAGAGTTTCCAGATGAAGGAAAGGAAAGAGATGCTGCCCATGTTCTAAGGTGCCCCAGCTCCTTTCCAAGCAGTGGCACAGCACTGGGCATAGCCAGCAGGCCAGGCCCGGGGGACAGCCAGTTGCCCTGTCAGGCCTTCCGTGGGGGAACTGAGGCTGCCTGGCTACCCCCAGTAGGTGGTGGGGGTTGGGGGTTTGGAGACTGGGAAGTGGCCTTGAGCAACCCCCCTTGACACCCTGCACCCTCCACAGCAGCCCTAGGCTTCTGAATTGGTGGGGTCTCATCTGCATCAAATCTGCATTGAAGTCACTACAGAAGAAGGTGAGGAGGAGAGCACTGGGCAGGGAGTCTGGAGGCCTGGATCCGAGTCACTGCTGTGCTGCTGTGCTCCATACCCTCATGCACATTATGGCCTTTTTCTGACCCACAGTTTTATCAGGAAAAGAGAGGGTGATCTGGTGAGAGATAATCTTTCAGATGTGGTAGTTCCAGAGCAGGAGGCCCAGAAATGAAGGAAGGGGGTCTCTTTTCAGCCTAAACGAGGATACCTCAGCACAGCAGTGACTCACCCCAGACCTTGTTGTGCTCAGACCACCAAAGTCCTCCCCTGGAATGAGCCTGTGATGGATGTCATGTCAGGGGCACTAGGATGCGGCCTCTCCCCAGGGGCTGAGAAGTCCTGTGGCCCCAGCCTGCCCCACTAACCCCACTCAACTGCTGGTGGTCCCCACATACCCCATGCTTTTTATGCCATCACGCCTTGTGCAAGCTGGCTTTAGTCTGAAAGCCCTTTCCCCCACCTCCCACCTTCTTTCTGTTACACACTGGGCTTCAGTATCACCTCCAATCTTAATTGGGAGCCTCCCCAAGCTCCCACAATCCCCTGAATGTCCTTCTAGGGCAGAGGTTGGCAGACTTTTTCTGTGAAGGGCCATATAGTAGCTACTTAGGCTTTGAGGGCCAAATGGTCTCTGTCTCAACTCTGCTACTATGGGGCAGAAGCAATCAGAAACATTAGATAAATGAGTGAGCATGGTTACATTTCAATGAAACTTTATTTACAAAAACCGATGACAGGCTGGGCCTGCAGCCTGTATTTCAATGACCTGTGCTCTGGAGCATCACTGATCACAAGTCTGACATGGTTTGCTTTCTTCCCTGTCCCTGCAGCTCAGGGACTATGTTAAATTCAGCAAGAATCCAGCTCAGGGTAGGTCTCAGTGGGGGACACTGAGCCAAACACAAGCACAGCCGCCCAGCCTCTGCTCCATACCTGCAGCCCCAGGCTCGCCTTCCCCTGGGAAGCCACCCCCGTGGACCACCTTTATTTAAATCTACGCACAGACCCTCTGGATGCTTCTGGAGCTGCAGGTCTGCTTCCCTCCTTTGGGTAGCCTGGCAGGGATGTGGTGAGAGAGACTGGGTCCCTGAATCTGTTCCATGACTGTCCTTTTCAATGGAATCTTTGCAGTACATGTGCGTTCTAAGATGAGTTTTCTTCACACTTTGCTTAGAAGAATGCCTTTGTGTGTGCATAACTAAAAGATACCTGAGGAATCAGAGTACACCTTCAGATGGGTAGACTGAGGCCCAGCAAGGGAAAGGGGCTGGCTCAGGGAAACACAGCATGGTGGGGACAGGAACAGCTCTCCTGCCTCTCAGCCCAGGGCCCTGGAGCGGCCCTCCCTGTTTCCTGGCTGAGAGGTCATTGTCAACGAGAGATGCAAAAACCACCTATTGGTAAGTCATAGTCCATAATCATCTGAAAGTAAGTACCAATACGAACCACAGCACCTGGAGAACTTCCTGATGCGGACACCAGAGGTTTTCCCTCCACAAGAAGCTCAGCATCCAAAAAACACTCACTGGGTGCTTCCTCTGTGCCAGTCTTTGCCAGGTGTTTTTACCCAAGAAACCTCATGACAAGGGGCCTACTGTGTACTCATTTGACATATGAGGAAATCCAGGCCCAGAGATGTTAAGTGACATGTCCAAGGTCACATCTGGGGGAAGCAGGGTCACAATCTGAACCCACAGTCAGATGCCTGCCCCACCCCCACCATGGCGCCCCAAACAAATACTCAGCAGTATCAGATGTGGAAGAAAATCCTCCTGGTAGGTGGGAAAGCCCTGTGGAAGCTTCAGTTTCACATTCAATGCTTCTATTCTAGGTTCTGCACTGAGAACAGAATCCGCCCAGCGCAGCCTGGGAGTTAAGAGCAAGTAGGCAAGTCTGGGAAGGATGTGTGGTCAGATAGTGCCCAAAACAGCAGGGCAGGCTTGAAGAAGAAGGTGATGAAGGGGCTCTGTTGCTGGGCACAGGACAACCAGATACCCTCCAAGAACCCTGCCCTTCCTGGCATTTTGAAAGCCTAGGGGTGAGCTTGGCCTCCCTCCATGTGCCAAGCCCTGGCAGGCACTGGGCAAGGAGGCCAGAGCAGCCAAAAACACCACCGCTGTCCCAAAGAGCTGCTTTGAGGTCAGCCCCGCAGGAAACGGAGAGTACCCTGTGCTGGTGGTTTCAGGAACATTTGTTTGCTGGCTGGACCGGCATGGACATTTTCCACTCTGCCTGGCACCTTTCACCCAATATCCCAGTGACTCCTCACAGCTATCTTGGTAGCTATTGTCAATCCCATTGTACAGAAGAGGAAATTAAGGCTTGGAGGTGAGGGTGTTAGGTGGCAGAAGGGTGATTTCAACTCTGTGTGGCAGTTGCCGAAGCTTGATCTCTTTCCACAGACCCTCAGCCTCCTCAGTGTTACTGGGCTAAGAACAGGACCCCAGAGAGGCTACTGAAATACCTCTCAGGTCTCCTGGAAAGTGCCCAGTAGTGTGCAGCAGAATAAAGCCGGGCCTGGGATGGCACTTGCAGGGTGGGGCCTAGACTGAAGCGCCCTGGAGGCCCCATCAGAAACCTGACCACATGGAAGGATCTGGAGTCAGAGTTGAGGCTGACTCCTGGCAAAGCCACCTCGGCAGGATCCTGGGCAAGTGGGCATGTGGCTTTCCCATGCAGCTTTGTCACAAGGACAAAAGACTCTCCTGGGGGTCTTAGTGAACACCCAGTGTCGGTCCGTTCAGTGCAGTGAGCCCAGCAGTCCATCGTGAAGAGGCCATATCATTCCTGCCATGAACGTGTCACGCTGCCGTTCTAACGGTCGTGCCGCCGTTCTAAGGCTGTCAGAGCAAGCCATGCCAGAGCCCCACTCTGCAGGCCTTGGCTCTGGTTCCCAGGGTGACTCCCCAGCTGGGCTCAAGGCCATGGCTCCCTGTTTCCAGGGATTTATGTCCCCCCATGCCAGTCTATCTCTTGGACAATGCCCATCTCTGTGAGTCCCTCAGCCCAGGAGTGATACATAGTCAACCAGGGTCTGCGACATCATAATCTGGTGCCATGACAACAGATGGGCTGCCACAAAGCACTGGGGATTCTAGGGGCAGTGAGGAGGGGCTGACCCGGGACAGAGTCAGGAAGAGTGGGAAATCCAGGACAAAGGGAGTGGGAAATGCTATTTATAACAAGAACACGGGCCAAGGGAAGCGCCAGACAGCCCATGGTCTATCAAACCGTGCCCTGCTACTTGTAGGCTGTGTGACCTTATGCAAGTTACACAACTCCTCTGAGCCACACTTTCTGCGTCTGCACTCAAGGATACCCTCCCTGCTTCACAAGACACACAGAGTCGTTGTGAGAAGCAAACAGGCTAAGGATGGCCCCAGGGGTTTATGAACTGAAAAGCATAAAGGCACAAGTTGGAGGTGTGTGAAGTCACAGCCCTGGCCCCAGCTGCTGTGTGTGTGACACAGGATCCTTCAGTCAAACCATCTGAGCCGGCCTCCTTCTCATCAGGAAATGGAGGTGTGGCGCTGGGGCTCAAGACCCCCTCTGCTCTCAGAGTCTATGATCCTGTGAAATTCTTAGAATCACTCAGCACCTCCTGGCTTCCCCGCCTCCAGAAACATCCCTCCCTGAGACAGTATACATGCGGTTCCGCACCCACATGCATCCTGGAACCCCGGTACAGAGAGGAGGCTTCAAAATCCAGATCAGTCCGGGCTGCCCGGGGGCGCCACTCCGTGCCGCTTCCTCAAAGCAATCCCAATGTCCTGCCGTGTTGGCCTCCAAGGTCCTGAGGCCTCTACACGGCTCTGCCTTGTTACACCCCTGGAAGCCAAGGCTTAGCGAGAAGTGACTGCTCAAGGTCATAGCACGTGTCTATGGGAGGGTTGCACTTGAACCCAGGTAATGACTACAATCCCACTTTGTGGCCAGCAGGCCAGGTGAGGGCCACCAGACCTGACCCAGAGGTCAGGGAAGGCTCCCTGGACGAGGACACCGTGTTCAATCAAGAGGAGTCAGCCAAGCTATGGGAGCAAAGAGAGCAGTGAGGCACATTCCAGGAAGAGGGATAACGGAGCTTGGGGCATGGAGGAGCCAGCAGAGTGGCCATTAGGGGCTGGGGGTGAGGCGAATGTTAAGGGGCCTGGAGCTCCACCAGGCCAGGGACAACTTGCCCTGCCTGGGTGCCAAGCTGCCCCTCAGAATCCAGGCACATGGGACCTGGCTTTCCTGGAGCTTGCCCAAGGACCCATCCAGCCTCTTGCTAAACACGCCTGCTCTCCAGCAGCCAAAAAAACCCCAGGGCTCCGGGCTGCCAGAGCCTCCTTTGCGATTTCAGGAGGCCAGGCAAGACAAAAATCAGCCCCTAGCAGAGGAGAAGAGGGGTAGGGGCAGCACAGAGCCCAGGGGTGGCCATGCACCAAGATATTTGGGACAGACACTTATTATTTTCCCCCTTGGAGATTCATGACGCACACCAGTTTATAAAGGCCCTGAGAAGGACTGCAGTAAAAATATCTGATTGAGTGTTTCCTCCAGCCTTCCAAGTATGTTTAACCAAGGGACTCCTTTTTCAGATGCCACATGTTTATTTCCCAAGAAACAAGTGGTCCAGTGAACCACACCTGGGAAAACACTGCTAGGGCGCAAGCCTCTCGTCCTACAGATGATTAGATGAGGTGCAGAGAAGGGAGGGGCGGGCCCGTTTCACACATTAGCCGTCCGTCTCTGGGCCATGAAAAATAGGACAAGGTGTTCACAGAGCATGGAGCCCGGAGTGAAGCTGCAGGGACCCCACTGGAGACCCCAATCCTCAGAGCAGGGACATGTCTAGAGAAGGTCCCAGGAAAGGAGAGAGAATTGATACCCAGCCACCAAGGACAGGAGATGAGGGAGATGTCAAGCCTTCCAGACTCTGACCGACCTCTGCTTTCTGTGGACAGGTCTTGGGCCCTAGGGCATGTTCTTTGAGGGCAGAGCAGAGACCCCTAAGAAAGGTGGATTCCAGCTCAACTTTGTTGCTCAGCAACCTGGGGCAGCTTCTTTCCCCTCCTAGGGCAGTTGAGAGGGGGAAAGCAAACATATAAAGTCCCAACCTTGGAGAGCTGGGTGCACAGAAGGGACTCGGCTGTTCCCACTTCCCTTCCCAGGCCTGGGCCAGTGCAAGGTGGCCTGGATCTGGCCTTGCAGCCCAGCCCCAAGGCAGCTGGGCCACTTGTACCCAGGTTGGGGAGATGAAAGGGCTGCTCCCCCAACAGTTACCCTTCGCCAGAGCTCGCCAGGCCCTGGCGTTGCCAAGACGACCACTTCCAGCAGAACGAAGATCTGGGGTGGGGGTAGGGGGCGTGCCAGCCCTCCCATGGACGACTAACCTGGCAGGCAGATTTAAATGACAGTCCAGGAAGCTACTATTAAGCTGTCACCCCAGTCAACAGGACGACAGACCCGGAGTGTTCTCTGGCTGCAGCAACGACACAGCAGTAATGAGAGGGGGAGGAGACCGTGGCCCAGAGCAACCTGCACCCCACCCGAAGCCCCCGGCCTGCCGGCCGTCCCACTGCCACAGCCACCCTCTCAGGCTGTGTCGGGTCCTGGCATGGAGGTGGGGCTCAACACAGGGTCTGGCAAACTATTTTTGGCAGAGGAATCCTTTTCCCAAGTGAACCCCCAACAAATTAAACAGATTAAAATGGAACCACATGGTTGGAAGTGGGGGTGGGGGTCCAGAGCCCATCACCAGCAGATCTGGGGTCCAGCAGCACTGGATTCAAATCCTAACCCCTCCCTGGACGTGTGATGTTGCTAAACCCTCAGTTTAAAGATCCCATGCATCCATTATAATGTTGCAAACAGCTGCCACACGGCTCTGCTGCTGACACTCTGGGGACCTAAGGTTCTAAGGCTGTCACACTCTGATTTGCACCCGAAGTCCCTGTGACAAGACTCCACAACAGCTACTGCCAGAGTCCAAGATGTCACTAAGCTGCGGATGGCAGCCTCTGATGCCTTCCCTTCGAGGAACTGTGTATTTGAGTCCAGATGTCCACAGGCGGACAGCGTCTGACTACTCAAGGTTTGGCGGTCCCCAGAAGGCAAACTGTTCCCACAGTGTCCTGACGGTAGGGTGCAGGGAGCCAGCACCCACGTGTGCTGGGCGGGGCTCAGCGCGTGGCTTTGTGCTGCCCAGCGGGCTCAGGGGCTCCAGCCTCCATCATCCATCAGCAGGTGACATCTGAATTCGCCCTCTCCCCCACCCTCCATCCCACCTGGGGAGTCTGAGAAGCTGCAGGTGCTGAGGACGGAGACACATGAAGGGCTCAAGCGAAAGGATTCACCCCATTCAGAACGAAGGGGCTGCGGCGGAAGGAGGACTTTTTGGTGAGGATGGTTTTAAATCAGGAAACATTTCCCTTAAAAGTTTCTGGGTTCTCTCCTCCAACCCATTCCACTAAGGAGTTACACATTCTAACCACACCAGAGCCTAAGACCATAATCCATTTATTTCCCAAGAAACAAGTGGTCCACCTTCGCCCCAAAACACCAAGGCATGAAAATGAGGTTGGAAGGGTCAGGAGACCTGAGGAAAGACTAAGTGGGAGGCAGCGGCAGGGCCCCCAGCGGTGGAAGGAGTGTCACCTCTGCCCATTCTGGGCCTCAGTTTCCTCATGTGACCATCTCTAAGGGTCCCCTCCAGCTGACCTGCTGGATCTGTGACCCCATGACATGGATGGGTTGTGGTTCTTGGTGCTGTTCCAAGCCCCTCCAAATGGGTCACCTGGGGCTTCTGGTCCTGCCTCAAGTCATATGTTCTTGGCCAATCAATGTCTTTTTTTTTTTTTTGAGACAGGTCTCTCTATTGGCCAGGCTGGAGTGCAGTAGGATTTCAGTTCACTGCAGCCTCAACCTCACAGGCTCAAGCCATCCTCCCACCCCAGCCTCCTAAGTTGCTGGGACTACAGGCGTGCACCACCACACCTGGCTAATTGTGTGTGTGTGTGTGTGTTTGCATATTTTTGTTGTCGCAGAGACGGAGTTTCGTCATGCCGCCCAGGTGGCCTAGGGCTGTACTAGAGCAGGTAATCATATGGGAACAACCCATATGATTACAGATAAGTGACTTAACCTCTCAGAGCCTCAGCTTCCTCATCAATAAAATGGGGCTAACCACCTCGGGGTGGGAATGAAGATAGGTGGCAATGCTGAAATTCATGGTGAATTGCACAGCTCCGCAAAAGCAGGTAGAGCTCTTGTCAATCATGCGGCTTATTTCTTACCATCGCCACTCCCTCACTGCCCCAGCTTTCCTGCAGGGACTTTAGGGAGAGCTGGGTTGCCTTCCTGTTGGAATGGGAGAGGGCCAAGGGCAGACAGGCAAGGGGCATGGCTCAGGTGGAAAAGCATCTGGGTCCAGTGAGGTGCTGGGGAGTAGCCAGTCCACACAGCGTCTTGGGAGCTGCAGGCAGAGCACACCTGGAACCCAGGCCCCAAGGTCATGCAGCCCAGCCCTGAGATTTCATACACAAGAAAAGGGGGCCACAGCAGCCTCGTGCTCCCATGGCAACCTTAGCAAAGCAATTCCACTCCTCCCAAGATCCAGTCAGAACAGAATACTGCTGCTGGAGAGACTCGAGGAATCATAAGACAGTCTTCGAATCACGGAACAGAATCGCCCCATCTCAGAGAGGATCTGAGAGTCAGAAAACACAATTTACAAGGACTTAGGCTGATTCCTCTGAATGTTAGAGCCAAGGAGTCACAGAATCTTTCCAGTTTAAAATCACAAATCTTAGACTGACAAACAGAATAAAACCCTAGAAGCTTCTAATCTAATCCAGGAGCCAGAAGCAGCAAAGGTCTGCCCCTTCCCCAACCCCCACCAGTGCCAGCATCCCCTGTTCCCACCGCTGACATATGGCCATTCGCCCTCTTGAATGCTCTCAGCGACAGGGGACTCAGTCAGCTGTGCTGGCTGGAGGCTGAACACGTTCCTTCCTCTTGAACAGGGAGGGAAATAAGCTCTCAACAGGAGATCCCCACTTTGTACAAATGGATTTTTCACCCCTCCTTGTTCTTTGGCTCTGGTCAGAAAGATTCCCGGGGAAGTGGAAAGGAGCCAAGAGCTGCCACGAAATGACTTTACCCAGCAGACAGGCTGGTGATAGGTTTCGGTGGGAAACAGAAGGGAAAGGGCGATGAATTCCAACTTGCTGGGCGATAAAGGAAATTAAGGCATAATACCAAGGAGGCAGCAGTTCTATTAACCTGGGTGGAATACCAATTACTCCGGCCTTCTCGAAATTGCTCCAAGTGAAGAGAAAATCCCCAAAGAGAGTGTAATTGTGGCCCAGGGCTCATCTGGATTAGACTGTTTGTTTGCCCTGGCACCCTAATGATGGGAATGAGGGAAAATTCCCCGTTTCCTGGGAGACAGCCATGCCAAAGTGGGGGAGGAAAGGCAGGCCCACGCGTAGCCACTGGACTGCCTGGCAAATGCTCAGGGCAGAGGGGGTCCCCAGGCCCACTGCAGGAAGGCTCAGTGAGGGGCCACAGGCAGCCTCCCCTCGCCCAGCCCTGTCCAGGGCTCTCTGTCCCATGTTCTGGGATGGCCAAGCTTCTGCTGACTCCTGTGCTACCTGAGAAGTCTCAGGTTTCTGCTGATGGAAACCAAAATAACCCAGTAGCAGGCCTACTGTGTGTCAGGGACCCTGCCACATGCTAGCATGCCCTGCAGTTAGTAAGACCTTCGGAGGTGGCCATGTGTCCAGGTGTTGGTTCTGGCAGAGCCAGGGCTCGGGGCTCTGGCTGGGACCACTCATCATCTGAGGCCAGCCACAGGGCGAGCAGTACGGGCAGAGTTCATGGCCACAAGCCCCAGCTCAGTGCCTCCAGCCAGAGCTAGGCAGAAAGGGACAGACAGGACTGTGGGAGGGAAGAAGCGGAAAGCAGTGGGGTCATGGGCTCAGCAAACCCTCACTGCCCACTGGCATCCTGGCCAGACCTCAGCCATACCACCCACTTCTCAGAGCCCCTTACAGAGGGGTGCCCATCAGCCCAGGGCATCTGAGCTGGCATGGCTCCCCCAATAAGACAGGTCTCTGGTCTCACTACAGCTTGGATGAAGAGGAAGCCATCTTTTTTTTAAACAGAGTTTCATTTTTGTTGCCCGCACTGGAGTGCAATGGTGCGATCTCGGCTCACTGCAACCTCCGCCTCCCGGGTTCAAGCAATTCTCCTACCTCAGTCTTCCAAGTAGCTGGGATTACAGGCATGCACCATCATGCCCAGCTAATTTTGTATTTTTAGTAGAAATGGGGTTTCTCCATGTTGGTCAGGTTGGTCTTGAACTCCCGACCTTAAGTGATCCACCCACTTCAGCCTCCCAAAGTGCTGGGATTACAGGCATGAGCCACCATGCCCGGCTGAAGAGGAAGCTACTTTTAAACAGCCTGCCCAGTGAGCACTGCTGGCTGCCTGAAGATGATTCCACTCACCTTGGTCTTTCCTGCAAGTGAACACTTCCTCCCATCACTAAGGTTCAGAAGACCCTAGTCTGCTGCCTGCCGTGGCCATTCTCCCACCAAAACAGGTTAAGGAACCCAGGGCTCAAATCACGCCTTTGTCCCTTACTAGTTAAGTGACCTCAGGCAGGCTAATTGAGCTCTCTGAGCCCACGTTTCCTCATTTAAAAATGTGGTGGTAAATCCTGAGTCGCAGGGCGGTCGGTTGCTAGATCACCTGTATCAGCGCCCAACATAAGGAATGGCATCTAGAAAAGATTCAGTGATGGAAGTTCCTCCTCACTTTTTCCCAGCCACTGTAGCAGCCCCACTGCAGGCTCTGCACGCAGTGAGTCGTTAAGAAGTTTTGTTGCAATTTTCAAAGGGCATCTGGAGGCCTAGCCTCTGTCATCCTGGGCACCTGGTTCTTCTGTGACTTGTTTTGTCCCTGTATAAAGAAGAAGGGCTGTTCCTTGGAGTAAAAGGTCAAGGCGGGTGGAATGATCACCTGGCAGCCTGCTGGGCTCATGGTGCAGGCTACTTCAGAAGCCTCATCCCTGGCTAACACCACAATGGTTATAACACCAATCTGACAGCTGAGACTGGCCCACCTAGACACACAGGCAGGAAGTGGAGGTCACAGGGGGTCCGGCCGCCCACCTTCCCTGCACCTCTACCCCTGCCCCAACATGAGTCTCTCCTAAGCCTCACAGGGAGCCAGAGGCCTCCAGAATGGCCTCTCCTCCACCCATTTGCATGGGTCCTGGCCCAGGAAAGGAGCTGGGGAGGAAGCCGGAAGGTATCAGCCACCTATTCCAGGGTGAACGGTGAGCCTGCGCAAGCTCGAGCTCCTACGAGGCTCAGACTGCTGGGGCCAGGGTGTCTGAGGCGCACAGCTTCCTCACTCTCTGGGATTTGGGAATGAAGGACCCTCTTCTCCTCCTCTGTTCTATTGGGAAGCTTTCTATGACCCCATGCGGGATCAGAGGCTTCTTCTGACCACAGCCTCATGATCCTGCATTGGTGTCACTCGACCCTCTTTCTCTACCAGACTAGCAGCTCGGCACCGAGGGAATGTGTGCAGAAGGAATCGCATGCAGGCAATCTGGAAGCCTGGGGCTTTTCCATCTATCCAGACTGTACAAACCCTATTTCCCCACCACCATTCTGCATGCACAGTAAAAGCAATCATCACCGAAGGCTTGCTCTCAGATCCTCCATTCCTGCAGGATGTAGGACTGTGTTCTGCTCCAGTGCTCTCCAGTTGGGTGACACTCCCATATCCTTTTTTCCAACATATGAACTGGCTCTTGTGCCCTCTTTCTCTTGCCAAAGACAGGGATGTGGTACCAAGGAGAATAGAGCCAAGGGACAGCAGGCCTGGGTTTTGGTCTCAGCTCTACCCCTGAGCTGCTGTGTGGCCTTAAGTAAGCCGCTTGCCCTCTCTGGGCCCCAGTGTCAACACCAGTTGGATGAGGGGGTGGGTCCCACTGCTCTCTGGGTCCATTCCTCCTCTACTTCACTGCCATGAGCCACAGGTGGGGAGCTGGAGTTGGAGGAGAATGCTGGCACCAGGCAAATGGTTCTGGGGACAGGTTGAGAGTCTGCAAGGCTGGGAGGGCACCTGCCTCTCTCCTGGGCCCACCTCCTGGCCAGCTCCTCAGGAAGCCCTGGAACACATGAACTTGGGCCTCAGCTTTGGCCCTGATCGTAGTGTGGCACCATTCTGGGCCAGGCCTTCATCTGTCTACATCACCTCACCTCACCTAGTGGTTTACAAAGCCCTTTGTATACGTCTCTTCATTTAGTTCTTACAATCAGCCTCTGAGGTTCACAGAGGGACAGGATGGGCCCAGGTTACACAGCAGTCAGAGGACCATCAGGCCCAGCGTTCTCCAGCAGCCCAGACATCAGATATCTCCTCCATGAAACGGGAAGAACACAGGATGTGCAGTGGGAGTCCCGAGCTTGACCCTGAGCAGCACTGGGAAGTGGGAGTGGTACCCTCTCAGGAATCACTTCAAGCCACCGTGAAAATCCAACAGCATAAAGATGCCAGAAGCACAGGTGCCAGACAGGGCAGCAGTCCGCTGGAACAGAAAGAGTACCACGCAGGGAGCCTAGAGCCCAGGATCCAGGTTTGGGTTTCCCCATGTGTTAAATGAGGGACAAGGATGGCTGCCCTGCTTCACCCACTGAAGAGTGTACTTGCCACACCTACCCTGTCCCACCTTCCGCACAGCTGTCTGTGCCCACCGCCTCAGCCAGGAGGAGTCAAGAGCCCATTCCCTTTCTGCACATAGCCCAGCCTGGCTAACTGCACCAAAAGCACAGGCCTGGGCACGGACCACACACACGGAGGTGTGCTCAGACAGACGTGCAGACACTCAGGCACATGCACGCAGCATGTGTACCTGCAGAGGGGCACCCGTGCACACAGCGAGGCACACATCGCCCACTTGCACACTCAGGCATGCACCATATACTGAACATACTCAGACACACATGTCATGCTGTGCACACACTGCAGCACTCAGACTGCACCCTCACACATGCACATTTGGCTTCACACGACACTCACACACTGCAGGCAAATATGCATAGATTGTCCTACCTCTCCTGTGACAGCCAGATGGTGGGATTCTCCCAGAGGCCTACCATTTAATGCTCTAATTAATTTTGTAAAATTCCAGATACCCAAAGCCTGGGTTTATTCAAGTGACCCAGGCATGGCCCAGTCTGAGGCCAAGGTGGGAAGCAGGACCCAGGACAAGGGGGTCCCACTGCACCCAGGAGATGCTTAGCCCTCACCTGGTGAGTAGATACCTAGCCTAGCGAAGGGCTGGGGTCACAGGCCCAGAATGTGGACCTGATCTTGGTTTCAAGAGTGCTCCTATGATCTGAGACAGGGAGAGACCCCTTCCCAGCAGCCCTGGCAGAGTCGTCTGGCCCTGGCTGTACACCTCAGGATGCAGGGTGCCGAGTCCCTGTGGAGGCCACTGGCTCTTCCATCAGATTGCACCACAGCGAGGTTTTCCTGACACGGAGGTGGGCTCAGAGCTGCACATTCAAATCAAAACACACCTTGGCTGAGCCCTACTGTGTGCAGGACATGCTTCAAGGCACTCCTCCAGGCAGTCTGCTCTGAGTGGACTACAATTCATGCTCTCTCAGGTCTCCCGGGGAGCCCCACCTTGTTCTCTGGGCCATGAGGATCTTGGCGGGTTCAGGCTACCAGGAAGCAAGCATTACTAGTCCTCCAGGTCTCCCCTCTGCCTTTCCCGGGGCACCGTCTTTCCTGCTGAATGTTTGGAAAAAGCAGTAATAAATTTACTGCCTCACTTATGAGTAATCTGCTGTCAGGAGCTGTGTGTAAGCAGTGGGCTGAATTAACAAAGCTTAATTAACATTAATGTTGTGACGGATCTCAGGTGAGTCGGGAAATCCCCCATCCTCGCCGCCCAGGACCCTGCCTGCCACTTCCCCACTCATGTGGGAGGTGAGAGGCCCAGGGAGGGCTCTCAGAGTTGCTGACAGACGTGACTGGGGGCTGGAGGCTTGCAGGAGATCAGCACAGGAAGCCAGGAGCCTCTGCAACTCCAATTCTCAGACTAAGCCCTTCATCTCTTGCCTCGTGCAGTGGCTAACACATGGGTCTTGGAGTTCAAGAGACCAGCATTTAAATCCTGTTGCTGCCATTCCTACACTGTGTGACCTTGGGTGAGTCTCCCCACCTCTCTGGGCCTATCAGTAAAGGGACAGGACAGATTCCCCCTCACCAGGCTGTTAAAGGATTCATGAGGTCATGCGTGGAGAGCAGAGGTGCTTCCCGCCACGCTCCCCATAAGCATAAGCAAAAGTGTCATTGAGTGATGATGGTGCGCAGAGCTCATCATCTCATTTAATCCTCCCGACCAACAGCTCTTTGAGGTAGGGCCTGCCATGACCCCACTGTGCAGAAGAGGAAACAAAGGCACGGAGAGGGGAGGTGGCTCGCCCAGCTCACATGCTGTGTGACGTAGGGGGAAGAGGCTCCAGCCACCCACTACACTCGCTGGCAGGAGCCCCTTGAAGGATCCAGACAGCCGAGGTGAGGGGAAAGATCAGGCCGAGGGGCCATGCTGGAGACTAGCGTGCCCTTGGTCAGTGGGCGTCCCATCAGAGAGGTCAGGTCCCTGTTTTTCAACGACTAAGGCCTTACTAAGCTGCCCTGCAAGGGCCCAGCCTGTGTCAGGCTCTGGGGATGGGATAAAGGTGCACCCCTGCTCTCAGGATGGATTCCGCCTCCGACTCCTATCGGCTGTCCACAGGGCACCCAGCCCAGCCCTGGCACAGGGCAGGCACACCACCATTTACCATCAGTGATTGCCGTTATGCATATGAATGGGAGGATGCTTCTGAGCAAAACCAACTTTGAGCAGCAGCAGCAAGGAAGCCCATCCCCACCCACCCATCTACCCCAATGCCTCACCGGAGATGGGAGTCCCCATGGCCCCAGCTGTCACCCTGCATGTCTCAGGTTGGACAGGGCAGTGACCTCTCCTGTCAGTTTAGTAGCCTTGAGCTCTGCCCCGGAGCCCACCCGCACCGTCTTCCAGGGGGACAGGAGGGGCTCTGGGCTCAGGCCCCCAAGTCGCACCTCAGGGACTACCCACTTGGAGTCTTGGTGTCAGGGATCCACCTGGGGACAGCATGGGGAGAAGGGAAGAGACTGGACTGGGGCAGGGGCA